TCAACCTGACGACCAAGAAGACCGCATAGACTCGATCAGTGTGGACTTCCCTCATTTCCGCGCGATTTGTGATTCTGCAGAGTACTATTCTATGTACATTATTGTCCTGGATCTTATGCTCTACAGCGAACCACTCGAAAAGGTCCGAAATGAGCGCCTAGAGAGGATCATGCTCACTTCCGACTTCAGTGACCTTAGTGGCGCCCCGGAAATGGTGTTCAAGCTTCAAGCACGCATTCGCCAGTTGGAAGAAATCAAAGAGTACTTTCAGATCAACGCTAAATTCCTGGACAAACAGGGCTGGGAGGATCGGCTGGCTCTCGAACGCGACTTGTCTCTATGCGAGGATGAACTTTTCTTCATGATGAAGGCAATCACAACTTCCCAACGGCGAATGGAACCGAGTTCGTCCAGGGACGCCGGTGTCCAAGGCTTACTGCGTTGGAGCATATCGGCGAGTGAGGTCGTGTGGCACCTGATGAAGGAGGCTTCTGAGCCCTTGATTGAGTTCCAATTGCGCAATGCTTCATATGAGCGAACCGACAATACTGATGGCTCGAACCATAACCTGGTATCCATCGAACGACTAGTCGGGTTGAACTTACTTCCAGACGCTATCTACCCTCAAATCATCGCACCTTACCTCGACGGCGGACGCACCCTCGATGAATTCATGTTGCGCATCAAATGGCACATGCTGGAGGCCGTTGCCGGTATCCCTGTGCTTGACAACTTTGAAGTTTCATTGTTCCCGCTGAAGATTCAGCTCGAACGCGAGCTGGGCCAGAAAGTCTTCGAATACGTCTTCCCCAACGTGGGATCTAGCGCCTTTGAGGCTGGTGGCTTCTCGCCTTTCATGATCAAGAACATGAAGCCACTTGAAGCTTCAGATGGGGAAGACGATGACGAAGGCCCCAACGGCGAAGGCCCCAACGGCGCACCACTGACACGCTCAACGAGTATCGATGGTGATAGCTCGTCTATGGACAGTCTCGCCATCTCTAAGGGACCGGGCTCCATCGAACTGCGCCTCCAGCCGACACTGTCACTTTTAGATGAGACCAAGCCGCGTCATCGCTCAGGCCATCTGAAGGGTCTGATGATGACACCTATCCACCAAGATAGTAATCGACTGGGTGTCTCGGAGACCGCGCGCAAAACAGGCCGTCCCTCTACAACTGGTGGTCTCCGCAAGAAGAAGTCTGCTGATAGTCTGCGCATGTTGACTAAACATCCCACCGAAAGATCCATGTCTAGCCACAGTGCTAGCGAAGACAGTCGCAAGAAGTTCGGAATAGGTAAAGGGACCAACAAGGGCGGCAAATCCAAAGAGCAAACCGATGACCTGACCCAAATGATCTCCCGCGCCTCCAACTTCATGACCCTCGCACATGTGAAGGTGAATGACGTAGTTCTCTGTCTGAGCTACAAGGGCAGAGGCGAGCACAATCTAGAGGATCTCCATGATTTTGTCTTCCGCCTTCCAGTTCTTGAATATAGCAACAAGACATGGTCGAACCTGGATCTTGCCCTGCGCCTCAAGAAAGACGTGATCAAAGCCCTCATCTCGCACGCGCCCGCCATTCTTGGCAACAAGTTCTCCCACCACCGACCTTCGAAGCAGCAACAGAAGCGTTTCCGTGAACTTGCATCCTCGTCTCAACTCCTGCCAGATACCTTCAGCTTGATGAAACCGAACAATGACCAAGCCCACAGTCTGGCCAGCTACGACTCTAATAGCGATTACTCGGAGTCCCGCTCGCGCAGATCCATGCAGTCGAATGCCTCGCCATTGGCTAGGACGACCTCGTTGAATTCAGATCCCCACGGCACAGATTATTCAGATCCCACCATCCATGACTCGCGGTCCGCTAGTGATGTGGATGTGGATTCTCGCTGGGAGGTTCGTGTTCTTTCGTCTCATTGTGACACCGTGAATATCCCCGAATGCTAATACAGAATGTTTAGGCCTCGCGTCGATTTGTCAATGCCCCTCCACCCGAAAGGCCGATGACATCCGGTAACACCGTGACTACGATACGATCTGGCAAGAATGATCAGGATGATAGGTATGAATCCCGCCCCCGAGTCCGTTTATCGCCGGTGAAGAAACCGACTGACTCGTCTAGTCACATCAAAACAATTCGCAACATCGGCCGGAAGCTGACATTCCGGAAATGATCGCTTTGCTTCATCTACTATATCCCTTCTTTTCTCTTTTCGTTCCTATTTGACCTAATACCTCTACACCCTTTTAAAAATCCTGTGATCCTTTGTACACTACCATCGCTTTATTCCCACCAGACCCCCCGTGTCTCCTAGATACCCTCTACCTGCATCGGGCCGTACATAGGTGACTGTACATAACATATTTCCTCTGCCGGGGCTTTCCTATCTTAGCTGCCGCCGCTTTTATGAGGGCTCAGATACACCACGGGATAAAGCCGTGAGGTCCTGTGTCCCCTAACGAATGTTAGGGCCTGATATATAGAACCGCTGAAATCAAATAGACGTTCTGTTTGTCCTTACGATCTTTTGGCCTGACTAGTTAGTTATCTAGTTATGTCACGTAATAACTATAGCTTAGTTAGTAAAGTTATAGATTAGGTACTCGGCTTACCGAGAATGGTAGTCTGTAGGTAACTTTGTGTTCAACCGAAGACACAATATATAGAGCTGTTACGGTATCATTACAATAACCCAGCCATTTTTACCAAGGAATACAATATAGTCCGACAGGGATAACTAGGGGACGGTTAAATATAGAGTGTAGAGGTAAATCTGATTTTGAATACTAACATACAGATACTACTATCAGTATTAAGACATCTGGACAACATGCCTCATACATCTACATGAATAATAGAGAGGAATCTATTGTCCTCTTGTTATGCTTCATGATATTGTTGCATATGCAAAGTTTTAGACGACTAAAGCCCCTATTTCTGTGAGTCTTCTAGGGTCTGGCTCTTCCCCCGGTTGGTACGTAATAGACCTAGCAACACTGTCTTGGTTGAAAATCAAGCCGCTGGTCCCCGGAAGTTGGGTATTTGCAAGGCCCGGATTGCACATCTCCATCCGCAGCTGCATGATCTATCTTTTGAGTGATATATTCGCTCTCTCAGCATCGAAAAAGAAATCTACCAAGGATGACTGACCCCTCGTAGGATCGGAATAGATCTCTGGCCAGTTGATCGAACGCCGCGCATTTGAATCCCACTGTGCATCCGGCTGCCCGCGTTCCATATATAGGTCATCTTGCAAAATGATCTCTCTTCCACGGTAACCAAGACTAGATAATTGGACAAACTGCAGCTTAGGGCTATCTGCCAACAATTCGAAGCTTCGCTTCCAGAGTTCCTGGATCTTCTTGATGACTTTGAGAGATAGCGAAGAACCCCAACTACTCCTCTCTTCTGTGAGGGAGCCTGGATCTTGTGCTCCGATTATCGCATCTGTTAAGTTGACATTCTTTATACTCAGTCGCCTTAAGGTTGGCGCTGCTGTCTGAAGAAAGCGCTTGAGATCCCCCAACTTCATGCCACATGCGATATTGCCGCACGTGTGGAGGGCGCGGACCTTATGGCTAGATTTGACTATAGCCTTGACTATCTGTGAAAATGCTAAGCCCAGAGGCATAGATAATATCTTCTACTAGAAATCTGCGAATACTATATTACCACTCATATTATCGGTATTGAACTGGTTCTTTAGTTCACATAAGCCAAGGCAGTGAAATGAACGATACTTAGCTTTTAGGAGGAATTTAATAGGGTAATACCGTAAGCCGACTATTATGGCGTTTTCGAGGCGCGGCAGGCATTTTTCAAGAACCGTAGTAAGTTCCGAGTTAAGAATAGCACAATGTTCTTCTAGTACAGCTTGATAAGAGCTGAATAGAGCGTTAAGCCCAGCCTCAGCCTTAGTATTATTAAATGGTGGTTCTTCCTTTTCACCGCGTATTATTCTGAACATCCTTCTCTGTTTCCGTATCGATAATCCCGGACTTATAAAACGTTCCTTATCCCTTTCTGGCCACCCCTTGAACAAGTTTAGGATGATCCGAATTTCTCGAACCAAGCCTTATAAGGTTTCACTTGCTGCAACACCCTCGGAACAGGGTCTCTAGCTGATGGGGGCCATCCTTCTCCTCACTTTTGTGGTAAAATATGCGCGATATTCTGAGACAAGGCTCCATCCACTTGCCGCTGAAGGATCAACCAGGGTCTCTAAGCTTTTTTTAGAGCTAACCTTTGATTACTTAAACTCATATGATTCCAATGTTCTGAGCCGAAACCCCTTTCCAACCCCATCCCTAACCGTTCACGTGACTATTCATTCAAAATGTCTGTCACAAACCTGCCTCCAGAGATATTGTCTCATATTTGTGAATATCTGGAGCCTCAGGAGTGGGGTGCGCTCAGAATCACTTGCTACCAAATACATGGCAGTACACTGGAAGCCTATGCAACGCGCTACTTCAAAACTTTGTCTCGGGTGCATACAGACCCCATTTTCAGAAAATTGGACCTGGCCCCCAAAATTCAATCCAGGATGCTTGTTCCAGGCGAGAATAGCTGGGTCAGGCCGCCGATGATTGGAAGCATTGCTACCCATAGGCAGCTAGACTAACTTGGTAAATTGGATGATTATAAGAAGGATCCCCTCTCCCCGTCGATATTTTTGAATCTCACAGCATTTTCCCTCGGTATTCTACTGGAAATACCAGAGGTAATTCTTCTTCCGCACGCTCTTTTACTTATTCATGTTTATCAACTGACCGCTGTAGCTAGAATCAGTTATCGTCAATAGGAACTTCTACCTCAGTCGCTCTTTTTGACTTGCTACCAGGTATGTTCATGGAATTTTATACTACAAAAGCTTGGAAGTATATATGCTGGGTCCACAAGATAGATAACCAAGGTGCCTCTAGACCCTCAAAACTACCTATGAAATCCATCTACCCCTCCCTCGTGCACTTCTTGTGCTTCTTGACCACCATGGTTGAAGGTCTCACCCGGTACCAGACCACGCCCCCGAGCGACGCCATTGTCGTCCCCGACAGACAATCCATGAACGATCTGGTCAAGCTGAATCCGGAAACAATTCTTCACGCCGAGAACGGAGGTTATTATCTCAAGAACATGGACGAAGAGGTCGTTGCCATCGCTGGGGATGACCTATGCACAGAGTTCGACGCTGTGTTTGCTAGTATTGATGCTGATGTCGTCGGTGACGGCTCTGGATCTGGGGATGAGGGATCTGGATCTCTGGGCGGGACAAATGTTACGAAGAGGAATGAGGATCTCGCGTGTTAACCGAACTGTATGCAAAATTTCTGCAGCCACCCCCGTTGCTTCCACTCTGCCACCTGCCTGAGCTACTCGTATTGCCATATATGCTCCTCAAGCAGCCGGAAAGTTTGTGTCTAGAGTGTAGTGTTATTTGAGACCATATCAAAGAGGCTGTACGGAGGTCTGAAAGGGTGTGGCAAGGACAGCGAGGCTGAAAGAGGAACACGAGTGAGAAGATAGCATTTGCCATATCTATAATATCCTATTATTCGCTCTGCAGATAATTGTCTCTTCTCTTCATGGATGAAATGAGTATTGTTTGCCAATTTCAGGTACTTTGATCAACTCATACTATCGTATTCCACTACATTCTTCTTTTCCGTATCAGCTTCTGTTTCTTGTTTGGTATGGAATGTGCCAGGTCTTGCAAATGAAGAGTGCATTCAATTCAAAATAACTAAGATAGAGAGAAAGAAGAAGCAAGTTTCAAAGTGGGAAGCAGCCAGTTAATTAGCTGACCACTTTGCAAACCTTCTCGCTTAGCTATCTAGCAAACAATCCATGGAATGCAAACCAGTAGACTATATAAATAGTAAGCAAGTAAGCAAACATGAAGCATATAATAGCGAAAAAAACTCAAAAATCTCCTAGTAGTAGTTACGCCTTCGCGCGAATGCCTTTGTGGATCTATCGGGGACGTTCTACTTTATATTAATTGTTACGATCCACATGGATCACTATCGTCATATGCTTCATGTTTGCTTGCTTGCTTACTGTTTGTATAGTCTACTAGTTTGCATTCCATAGATTTTTTGCTAGATAGCTAAGCGAAAAGGTTGGTTGTTTGAAACGTTTGAAAAGGGACAGCTATATTAACTGGCTGCCTCCCACTTTGAAACTTACCCGGGCTAATCTCGGACACTCGGACACTGGCATAGAGGCGAGAGGGGACAATATGTTCCTCTTTTGATTCTTTCAGTACCCTCATTTTAAGCTTGATACTCGTTTCCTGCTGGGACAGGTGGCTATTGATAGCGCTTCTTTGTACATGTACACACTAGTTAGTGGCTTCCCCTTACCCATGATATATATATAGACCAAGGGGGATTTTGACTGTTTTCTAGCACCTCTTCATTTATGAATATGTACCAAGGCTGACGTCGTAGGGTAATTTAATCTCTGAATATCTCCACTGATCGGCAATGGCTTTACAGCGGGGGAAATTAGTTGCCCAGTCTAGTCTCTTTCATACACTTCGTAGTGCTTACATGACGAAGTACGTCTTGTGTGAAGTTAATAGTAGGAGAGGATATGATGTACGAGCCCTAAGTGGGAAGTCTACATGTACATAAAATAATAAACAATATCTTAAGGTCTTAATTCTCCCAGAGAATAAACAGAGGGTATCTATATACAACATCATTAGCCTGCGCAGCAAAACAAAATCCAGAGAATGTCAAATCTATAAGCCCTCTCCCCAATGCATTTGCATGAGCAAGCAAAAAGACCAAAATGAGATCTTCATTGGAACAAACAAATTCATCAGTCATACATATTACACGGATAATTTCTCCGTAGATGGTTCGGCATTGGAAGAGGAGCCAAGAGTTGCTCCATCATACGTTCCATCGGTGACGTGAGACGCCTCATTAGGGGAATTTCTGGAGGCATCGTTAGAGACATCATGGGCTCCATTGGAGACTCCGGGCACATCATCGGATATTTTCTCCACGCCCTCGGATGGTGCCGAGGGATGGTGGTGATGATTATCACGAGTCCAGGGCCAGACATTAGCCTGGACGGACTCGAAGCGGGTACGTGCAGTGGGCGCGCTGATATCGTCAACCCAACGGATGCCGCCTTGTCCACGGTTTTCGGCCCACGCCTGCTTCTCACGACGCAGGTCACTCTTAACCCAGGGAATTGTGATCAAGGTCCACACAATAGCCCAGGCAAACGGAAGGGACCAGCCCAACTGTGCGTAAGGTTAGTCTGATTGTAATTTGGGATTAAAAGAATTCCCGCTTACCGTAAACGCAACGTTTTCCTGGACAGTGAAAACAATGGCGGTAATGGCGGCAGCGCAGATGATGGATCCTCCACTCCAGAAACAGTTCATTTCAAAGAGCATACGGCGAAAATAAGGACTCGATAGGTATCGAATTCGGAGCGCATATCGATAAATCTGTCCACCACCTCCGTCAACTGCTACCACGTCCTCAATAAGCGCGTACAATGCAGTTGGCATAACAGAGCCTTTGGGCGTGGAAGAAATTCGGAATGGAGCCTTGAAGCCCATCATACGGAAAATGTCGAGGGAAAGGTAGACGATGCCGAAGTAGAACATGACGGTTGGTAGGACCATGGCGATGAGGCGTACTGTTTAAGCAGTTAGTATGAGGCAATTGCGTAAGATATTATGATTGGTTGGTCTAACCATATGGTTCTTCAGGTACCGATCCACTGTGAACTCGTTAGTTCATTGTTCATGCTGCTTCCACGATATATGCTAGACTTACACGATCAATTCGACGGCCAGAATCAACCACACGATGGTGAAGTTGATTTGGAAGAAATCCAGCTACCAAGAGGTATCAGTTAATGGTCCATGATCAATCCCAGGTCAAAACCTACCCATGATACGCGGGAGTTCAGGGGCCGGGCGCGCGAGCTTTTGCGGAATAAATTATGAAGGCGGTAGAAGTATTCGAAGACCGAGACTCCTCCAAGCGATGCGGTAACGATCGAGAAGACTGCAAATCCAAATTAGCAACCTGGACGGACGTATTTGTTCCACTGCGCAAGACATACCGATGTTGGGCGATAGATCGGTGAGGTACCAAAGACACCAATATAGAATCAACGGCTGAGCCAAGGTATCGATCACGAAGATAGTCCAGAAGAACGCAATGGACTTCTTCCTTGTGTGCAACGAGTATGGGAGCGGAGGAGGCTCGGAGGGTGTTGGGACGGCTCCTTCTTCCATCGGGGTGGCGATAGTGGCGGATTACCGTTGTTGATAGGTTCGGGAAAAGCGCGATAAAGGTTTGATGAAGAATTAAGGGTGTTATTAGGACATGGCGCGAATGTGATGATGACTCCGAATGGATTTCCAGAGAGAAATAATCCAAGAAAATGAGGTGAAGAAGAGGCGAATATGTAAATTGAACGCCCAGGAAATTTTGGCCGGAAACAATGGGGCCAGGTACTTCCGTTGCCATACTAATTTGGCTGGGAGGACAGGTACCTGACGTAAGACCCCATGATGTCATTCAAAACACAGCCCTGATCAAACCACCTGCTAACTATGTGGGCATATTTTATGCATATATCCCTTGGCGAATTGATTTTGCCTCTTATTTGTCTGGGACTTGGGGATACTAATATCAAATATGGCTTATCCAATATTCAATAGTCCTATATGGATATAGTATAAGGCAAACAAAAGGGGAATTAGGACGACGTCAGGTAGTTATGCAATAGACATGAATTCATAGGTATGAGTCAGCGAAGACTAAATATGCACAAATCGGCAGAAAACAAGGAATCGAGACCTAAAACCGACCTCGGGAGGCATATCGGATACCGATTCCGACATGGCTGGGCCCGACCTCGGGAGTTTACGTTGGAGCTTGTTCATAACTGCCCCAGTCATACGGAGTACTCGGTACAAAGGAGATATCTCGTATGTTCTACAGCATACTATGGGGTAAATACGGAGTAGTTATACATCATTAATTGTTATACATCAATTAACCTACTCTACCTATATTGGACAATGTACTCCTAATCAGCACAGACCTGAACGTTGGTTGCACGTAGGATATTCTTCTGTAATCTATTTTAGATAAGTCAAAGGTCCAATAGCAGTGAATTTATTATTGTTCATATAAAATAGACTCCGGATCATTCAAGATGCCTTATAAATAAGGCATCAGACATTGAGAAAGATAAGGTCATGTGACATGACAATCGCACTGCAAAATTTGGAAGCTCGGCGTTCGAATCCCCCCCTTCAAAAATTTCTACCCTTCTTTAATTTTCCAACACCCATCACCTTTCTAGTACTGTTTTTACTCCCCTCTTTCTATCCAGAAAAAAGACATGTAGCCATGCCTGGCGTACAACATCTTATCGACTTCGTGCTAAACGAAGTCGCGCTCTGCGGTAATCAAGGTATGTATAGTCTCTTCACTGGGACCCACTTTTCATGCATATGGATTTTCAATGTCACCGGAATTACGTGAAAAGCGCCCTAGTATGGGATATATGTTGAATTCCTACTATACTTCCCTCTCGGGACTTTCTTATGATGGATTTGAGTTTGCATTCTTGTGGCGCGGACCCAATGCCGATTTATATCCTCCATCTCAAGCCTTGATTGGCGCTTTTATTCTTATATACACTTCGAATGAATCGAATGCTAACAGACATCAAGGTGCAACATTATCTGATCTACTGCAAGCCATTGATGATTTCCATACACAATCTCAGGATGTGATGGAAAACCAGAACATTGACCATCGTTTCAAAGCCAAAGTCTGGTCCTGGCTCACGACTAACCCAGAGGTGTCTATTGGCCAGCACAATGAATGGAACCATCTCACCTTGAGTGAAGCCGAGAAGCTTGATTCACAAACAAGGGAGAAAGATGAACCCGATAGCAATTCTCTAGAGCTCAACCAAATCGCAGATCAGAATCCTGATTTACCACCGCTTCGAATCTTTGTCTCCGAAGAGAGAGCCTGGGTTGCCATCACTGGCCATCCACCAGATGAATCCAAGGTACTGCCCCTTGAATTTGCCTTACTGTCGGTGATTGCTTCGCGCAAGTCAAAGGGTATTGTGCAGCCGGACCTGGTGAGGCTCAGTGGCCAGGATAAACGGTCTGTTCCGAAGCGTACCGATGCTTTGCAAAGAAAAGGATACATCGACAAGCGACCTGTTCAAACAAAAACGGCCAGAACCAGCCTCTGCACGCTGCAGCGATTCTACCGCCACACTATTAGCGATCAAACAAAGTCAGAACCGCAATCGGAGAACATGATTGATTTCGACAGCTTCAACACCAGCCTGTTCAACATTCTCCGAGAGCACCAGCTGATTGCACGCAATGATTTGAAACGACTCCTCGGCTTTGATGACCATTGGCGTTGGAAGGTCTTGTCCCGTGCCCTCCGCAAGTGGGAGCGGATAGGCGTGGTACAGCGTGTGAGAGCCGAATCGCAATACGAAAGAATGCATCCTTGTGTGAAGCTTTTACGGGATCCCACAGGGCAAGATCTGGAACTTTTCCATGAATTCAATTTCGATGTCTTGAACAAGCATGGGGTGCGAGCCAAAGGAACCAAACCTACCCCGGACCAAGAAGACCGAGAAATGCAGCTGGGGGGCCAAACCAAAAGATCGCCTAGTCTGGAGGACGGTGGGGTTGATATGATCAAAGAGCATGTTGGAGATGCTGTACGTATCGTACCGTCTTGGACGCCGGATCGTAACCTCAACAACCAAATCTTTGACATCGTTCAAAGAACAGGTACAACAGGCATCACGAACCAGGTAAGTGCCTTACTCGCGAAAGTGAAGATATTCTTAGCTGACAAAATAATCCAGACCTTAAACTTGACTTGCTTTGGGTCCTTTTTCAAGAGACCCGCTGAAAGTATGGTGCATCGCTTGGTCGACCTATGGCAAGTGGCCCAGCCACTTCATCTCCGCCATTACGCCATTGTTCGAGATATGGCAATGAAAAAGACCATCATGTTTTATGTCCACTATTCGGTAAACAACTTCGCAAAGCTCGTTGAAGCTGGCCAGGCATCATGGGAGGCCGTTGAGATTCCAGCCAAGAAAGCCAAATCGCTAAAGATCCAGGCACCTCCATTTGGTGCTCTTCCTCAGCTTGATGAGCATGGATTCCTTAAAAAGGAATTCCCAAAGAATATGTTGAAGGATCCAAATTCAACTCTACTCGACGGGATCACGGCTGTTAAACCGCCCAACTATCTTCTTTCTTCGAGCGATCCTTTTGTTGTTCAACTTCCAAACGGTCAATATGGTATGATTGCCCCTTCCTCCCCTTGGATCCCACAAGAGAAATTACCGTGAATCTAACATTTAGCCGCAGTGATCCGCACACGTACTGATAAACTCCCCCTGGCTCCAAGCAGCAGTATGAGCCCCGTTTCCGGCCCAAGGGACGACCGAAAGGCAGATTGAACCGCGCGACTGTCGAAAAGCGTGCCAGAGAATCCAAAGCGAAAGACCCCATAGCCATAGAGTCTGGAGCTGGAGAACCCGATGCTAGCCAATCCGAACCCAGAGAATCTCAAGCCGTGGAAGTTAAGCCGGAGCCAAGCCAAGGTTATAGCTGGGAATATGTCGAAGAATCCCCGCGAGCCAAGAGAGCCAAGATAAAGCACGACAGCCTTAGAGGGTTATCAAAGAAAGAGAAGTTTGAAGCACTTGGTATGGATGAGAGTTGGACTGAATACAACGCTCTTGTCATGGAAAAGCCTGCTCCTGGTGTGTATGTGACTCCCCACGGCCGAAGACGACCAGCCGGCAAGGCCCGAGGTCGCCCGAGACAGAGCCGAATTGCGATCTTCAAATCGCCACAGCTAGCATCGATGCCTTGGTTTGTCAAGGATGAAGATGATTCAAGTGACGACGACAAGATACGGGATGATGCTACCACTACTCGGGCATCCGAGAGCCTTGCCCCTGAAGCTGCACATTCAGTTATCAACTCCGAGGGGCCTGCAATGACCCCCACCCCGACAACTTCGAGGCGAGCCAAGAGAACTCTGCCCAATGAGCCAGCGACCTCACCGGCAACATCACCGGGCTTCCAAGCCAATGAGCAGAGAACCGGGAGACCTGCCAAACGATCTCGTCTTCGCAAGGCCCAAAATGGAAACAACGAAGAACCCTCGAAGGACGCTAACGAGATATTGCCCGAGGTTGTAGTTCCAGCACTCCAAGAGGGTTCGATCAAAGCGAGTACACCACGCCATCGTGACAAGAGTGCCAGCGCTCGTCTACTCGAGGACGAACAAACTGAAACTCCCTCAAAGCGACGCCGTGTGGCATCCTCCGACTGTGCGACTCTACAATCCCCAACACCTCGTCCATCTGATGTTCCGACTCCACGATCGGGCTCAGTGGCCCCCCAGAAATTCAATTTCAGCGCCCATGGCACCAAGCCTACCAGAAAACCACGTGTTCGGAACAGAACCAACATTAGAAACATGCTGATTCCAGAGGAGGAAGAATCGGGATCCCCTAAGCCTTTGATTGGGAGAGGCGGATCTATCAGTGTCCTTCGGAGAAAGCTCATTATGGAAATTATGGAAAAGGCTGATGGTGTATATCCCGCGGGCACTGCAATGTGGTATCCTTTTGTCACTGCATGGATGAAGTTCCATCCCAAGGGAAAAACCAGACATGCGAACTATCAATACTGCATGCAAGCAACTGATTGATGCCGGCCAGCTTCGGCAGCTAACTTTCAGCGGCCGAGACACGAGAAAAGTGATGGTAACAAGGACATTGTTGTTGAAGCCTGATATCTCACCCGACGATCCGTTGGTGAAAGAGATGCAGAAAAAGATTCTGGCTACTGATTTCCACGAGTCGCGACCCTTCTTTTCGGCCAATGTCGAGCTGGATCCAAATTTGACAAGAAATAGTGGTCGACCACACGGTGCACCTCCCCGCACGCAGAGATTCTCATTCCCGGTAGAAGAAGGAACCCATGTTCACTTACAACAAAAGCCTATTTCCATTGTGAACTTAGAGGCAAGAAGAAGGAGACAGGCCCAGACGAATTTCATCAAGCGTCTGGAAGCCAAAGCCAAAGCTGCCAAGGCTGCCGAAGAAGCTGATGAACTGCCTGACCTGCCTGGGGTTCAGCGACTCATGACACTCGCACGCCCTCCTCAATTGGACCTTGATTCTCATCCGCACACATCGATTATTCGTCCATATATTCGAACAGGAACACGCGGTCCTGGCAAGCACCAAAAGTCTATCATACATCCCAAGCGGGTGATGAAACCAATTTCCGCCATCGGAGCGTATGCCATGTTGATGAATCCGGTGCAACAGTTTGATTCGACTAGTGGAACTTTCTCCACAGGGTCGTGCTCGGCCAGACGCCGAAGAAAGCCAATGGCAGCAAGACAGTCGGTTTTGAACATTGAGAAATCTGTCGACGAGTTATCTAGACTGGCTTGCGACGAAGCAGATTCGGAAATCCCTAGTGCTGCCAAAGCGAAAATTCCACTGTCAACATTCACTCAAAAGACCAAAAAGATCCTCAAATGGGAGCTTCATCATCCAAATCTCTTTGAAGCGAACCTTGAAGGCCAGCAGTTTATCAACCAAACCGTTCAAGATGCTTTCAAGCCAGCGCCGGTCACAGGCGGTATTTGCTTCGACATGGACATACCTCCTCCAAAACAGCTTCAAGTGCCTGAAATGCCTCAAGTGCCTCAAATGGAACCGGATTTGCCAGCACGGCGTAGCGAGGTCCGTCGCCAGCGTCAGTCTCTACCTGAACCTCTGCCCCAGCCTCCTGTAATAACTACTCCGATAACCGAGACACCAAAACGGACACCCAAACCAAGAAGAACACGGGCTCCCCGGGCCCCGCGTGCTCCTGTTACAGATCGCCGTCTGGCCAAACTTGATGATACTGCAACAGCCGACAAAGAAGCACAGTCGGCGACCACCAAACGCATTCGCCGACAGCGATTCGTGCGCCCTATCTCCGAGGATCTCAAACAAAAGATAGTGATTGCTCTTGTCGTCGTTCGTGTGCTTGCAGGCGGAGCGGAATCAAGAGTGATCGATTGGCCTCTTGTGACAAAAGCTTTCCCAGATCAAGATTCGTCTTTTATCGAAGGGCGAGCGCGTCAGATACTCAACAAGAATCGCTTGCAGATTACGAAGATGCATCGAGATTTCCAAGAGTGCTTCCTTGAGGCTTATGAAAAGGACGAAGTTCCGCCCATTGACTATTCCGATTTGGACGGCTACGACTGGCCTGCCCTGGTTGAATGGGCAAGCACTAGGCTCGATGTTTCTCCGTCTGAACGGGCTCCGGACCTTCCAGCAACACGGCAGCAATTCGACAGTGTTTTCGAACTACGCGAGGATGCTATTACGGCAGGCGACGAACTGTACCAGGCTGTGCATGGTGTCACTATCAACCACAAGCGCAACTTAATGGCGCGCAATCCATTCGCTGTACCCGTGGATGGTGAGACACGCGCCCAGCCGGTTTCACGAAAAGTTGGTACGGCACAACTTGAGGCTGCGAAGACATGGGTTCGTGCAAATATCGTCACCGCAGAAGAGACCTACCGGCCCAATGAGTCGAGCGATATCCTGCAGCGCTTTGGTGATCGACTTATCACCACTGCGACGCAGGCACTACTCAATGAACGTGTCATCAGCTCAACAACCCGTGGCCGCATCACTCCGGGTCGCAATTATGATATCTCGGAATATTTCCTGCAGACACTGAGCCGCAAGCGTGCCGTCGAAAGCAGCCAGCTGCGTCGTGCCGCTCATTTCAAGTCAAAGATGCTAGATCTACAATTTCGAACTACCGGTGCATCCGACGTGGAGTACACCGCAGAAGATGGCGATATCCTCGCATTGATCAATCTCTACGCTTCGGGTGCTATTCAACTACGACCCCGCGATGCCCCTCGCGCCAAGTTCGGCCTCACCGATGGCGGCTATGAAACTCGCCAGGTGGACAAGAAACGGTTCCGTTTCCCTGTCGAGATTACTCCCACTGCAACGTACCGCTACGGCAACCCCGTCCATGGCAAGGCTGCAGCCGCGTACCTTCCACCCGCGCCTTCACCATCAGGCCCGGAAATGCCACCTAGAAACCCCCTTTGGTACGACATCAATGGAGAGTTCATACATCGTCTCTGGGATCTGGTTATTGGCCCTGTTCTCGGGTGCCTGGTGATGCGGCCTGGCATCAAGGCTGCCAACATTTCTAACATGATCAAGCCCACCATGGGCGCATGGGAAACTGTGTTGATGCTGCAATGGCTCGAGGAAGTTGGCATTGTCAAGCCAGATGGCGAGGGAGACATGGCTTGCTGGAGATTACAGGAGTCTTGGTGGATGATTCTATCTTGATTGCCCATCCTCGTGAACTACTTATCTTGAATGTAACATTATGTGAACAATACTTGCTAGCCATACTTCTCAAAAAGTCAAGAAAAATACAAAAGACCAAGGATATGGGTGCTTGATTTCAAAAACTATCTAGAGGTATATTATAGATCAACTCCTGTAATGTAATCCCAAACGCCCGAATAGCCAGCGAAAGAAAGTAATGCTCAACATAAACCCTAAATTCCTTTACAGATCGTCGACGTTCGCCACTCGGCGCAATATCAACAAGACAAGAGCAACGATCACACCAATGATAGCCCGGTCCAGCCAGACACTTTCAGATGGAGACTCCGTCGAAGCCAATTGAGACGAGCTTGTCTGCGTAGGCATAACAGCTGCAGCCGGTGCTTGTACCTGTGCCTGTACCTGTGTTTGTGCCGCGGACACCGATGCAGACGCAGAAGGAGCCGGAACAGGTTCCGCAGCCGGAGTACTCTCTATAGCATCATCTCCCCGAGCCTGGTGCTCATTTCCAACAGGTATAGAATTCTCACTTGAAGCCGGAGCCAGAGCATCAGCATCAGCATCAGTCTCGGCCTCGGCCTCGACCGTCTCCCGCTGGCCCTCGACACCAGAACACCCGTCCACAGCCGCAACCTCACCCTCAACCTCGACCCCACGCTCCCGACAAACCTTCCACAACTCCCTCATAGCCTCTAGATTCCCAGCCCCGCACTCACGACAAGTCCACCCAAGCGAAAGCCGCGCATACTCCCTCCGCAGCTCCTCACTCCCCTCCATGCCCCCAACCTGGCCCTGACTCTCCGAACTGAAGATCTCAGAGCGGATGCCCAGCAATGCAGTGCGCACGCCCCAAGCTGGCTGCCATGTCTCCTCGTGGTGGCCGGAAATGCTGAGGCAGATTTCGCGGTTGACTTCGAAGCGGCCGGAGGGCGTGAGGAAGCGGAAAGAGGGGGGGCGGAGTGGGTATGTGGCTGGGAAGGTAATGCGGCCGTGGTAGAGGCCTTGAGCGTAGGGGGAAGGGGAGGGGGGTCCAGCTAGGGTGAAGTGCCAGTCGTGGAGGTTTGTGTCGTTTATTGGGGCGGCTGTGAAGTACGGACTTGGGTTTTTGTGGAGGTCGCTGCTTTCTTTCAGGAGGCGGCGGGTTGAGGGGGAGGACATTTTGGTCTTTGTGTCTTTGGATGGGATTAGATTTCGAGTCGAGGATGTTCTAAGGTTGAATTGGACATGTTGGGAGGAAGAAAGAGCGATAAGACAAAAAGATAAAGATGACAGCTGTCCCGGGTTTGCGGGGGAATGATGCTATTGGGCCGTGGCAACGTTGTTACGGACGACAATATAGGATTCGGAATGATTAGGGCATATTTTACAGAGATAGACATTGTACAATAGGAATTAAGGTCTAATGGGCATAAAAGCCTTAATATGGGGTATCCATACCAAGGCTGCGCATACGCTTTGTAGATGCCATAAACACAACGCCTTCAACATGCTACTTAGAAATGCTACAATCACTTGTTCTTAGTCCCAGGCCCGCCATTCATCATGGTCACGACGTGCAGCCTGCTGGCGGCCAGCGCCCGGATCCAATAACCCGTCCTCTTCAACGTCATCCCCATAATCACTATCGCCAGGCCGAGGCCGCGGCGACCGAGGTGCAAGAGTCTGCATCGACACCGAGGTTGGAGGTCGATCAGGCAGGCCACCGCGACTTGTCACCCGCTGCTGTGGACCACCTCCCATCCAACTATTACTGTTGTCTAGATTGCGCTGGTACAACTCACGGTAGTACTGCTGCTCCTCGGTGGATTCCTGTTCTCGACGCTGTCGCATGCGGTCACGCGCTTCTAGGAATTTAGCACTCGGCTCCCAGTGCCAGCCGTCGCCAGTAGTTGTGCAGATGGGCACAGCCCAGAGCAGCGGCCGGTCCCCGAAAAGGTGGAGCAGGTTACGCCGCCAGCCGTGGTCAAACGCGCTGGGCATTTTTTCGTTGTCTTCGTCGTTTTGGTACTCCTCGTACCGCGAGTGCTCGCGCTGCCGTTCCATTTCGGCGTATGACCGCGTCAACGCTTGTTGCGCTGGCGTGAGGCCGTTCCCTGAGCCGTCTGGAGGCCCTGATGGGCGCGGCACAGGAGATATGCCCTCTTCGGGCCGGGTGACTCCCGGGATTGCATTGGCGTGGGCATCGATAATCTGATTTCCATAGTCTTGCATTCGGTTGGATATGCTTTCCTCGCCCGGCTCGCCCCAATAGTTATTGTTGGGCGCCGGCTCATTCCGCTGTCTGTATAGCGCTTTGCGCAAAGGCGACACATATCGGGTCCTTTCCAAACATTCAATGGTAGTGGTACCCCGTATAGCTAGACTGATATGCCAGGCTGTAAATCCACCCAAAACCAATCCAATGATGCCACCCAGGATAGCCAGCAAAACTACATTGACCGGAAGAATAGTATCCATGTACTGGGTATCGTTTAGGATCTCGGTCCAGACCCAGACGGCTGAAATGGCAAAAACAACCCAACAGAATATCGAGGTGTAGATCAAAAATAGCAAGAATGCCTTATAATTATGCAGCCCAACACATGTTGCCAGCCAGGGACAATGGTGGTCCATCTTGAGGACACATCGTCTGCATGTCGAGCAGTGGTGCGCGCGGTCCGGCTTCGGACATTGGCATTTTTTGCAGTATCGTGATTCACCTGTCGAGGTGACGGTATACGATGTGAACTCCGGGTCTTCGGAGGGAGGGAGGGCGCTGTACTCATGACGGTCGGTCCCGCGACTGGTAGAAGTCGGTGACCCCGGATCAGTGAAAACAGCGACGGTATATGAGAAGTTGAGGAGGGCGTAGAGGGAAAATGCGAGGATGGAGCTCGGGATACCTACCGATATGTTAGTACACCCGGATACATAACCCCGTTCGAGTCCGAGCGATATCCTGCATACCTATCCAGTCACTCCGTGACGGTTTGATGCCGATGCTGACAGCGACGTATACTGCCCATGTGGTGAGGCCGTAGACGAAGGCGAGTGGAAAGCAGGTTGCTGCTGCACAGCAGTACCGTTCGCAGCGGAGAGCCCAGGCTCGAGGGCGTCGTTTCGGCCACGAGGGCGAGGTCGGAGGTGACGAGGCCAAGGTGGCCATGACTGAGATTTATGACACAAGGGAAAGAAGATTATGCATTAAGGATTTTGACGGGATCGGTCCCATTATAGGCAAAGCATTGAAGATAAGACAAGTCTCAGGAACCGTACCTACAATATGCGATGGAAACGAGGCTATCAGGTGAGATGTACGGTAAGGTAACCCGGGTACGGTAATTTTGACATGCTCCGCCACGGCCCCAGCCACAAGAAGTGCGTACGTGGAGACACGAAGTATCGTCATAACAATGTTCTATTTACGGCATTGAAGCATAGGGGATATTATCAAATAATCATAGGACACTACTTTTATATACTCGTATGCATGTTGGGGTAATTGGTGATATATCAATATTTACAGTCATAATTCTAATAGATTCATCACGGCTCTGCCTTGAAATGCAATGCGGATTGTTCTCGAACGTAAAAAAAAGGCCGAATCAGCTGCTGGTCGCATTGGAGGTCGGTAGGTTGTTCTGTGTACACCAGCCATTGACGGGCAGACAACTCAACCGATAGCACCAAGAGCAGTTCGAGGAGGGGTATTTATAAAAATCGATAAGCAACATAATGAAACCAATGAGGACCGCGACTAGGGCGCCAGCACGAACCAACCACCACAGCCACCAAAGAGCCTTGCGGCCCTTGAAGAAACCGAGCGGGCCGCCTGTAGGACCGGGGTTTTCTGATGAGTGGGAGGTGAGACCTCGCTTGCTCTTGAAGAACTCCATGAAGGGGATAGTCTTTTGCTCGGGACCAGCTTGGCCAGCTCCGCCGCTCATGGCAACATATGGCTGTCGTGCCAGACCAATCCGCTCGCGGAGAGCGTTAGGCGACCGCATGATAGTCAGGCCAATGGCGAGACCCATGATAAAGCCACCAATGTGGGAGAAGTTGTCCAATCCTGGGAGAAGACCAAGAACGAACGAGACACCCACTCCGAGAAGCATGATGATAAGCTCAACCCACGGAGATTCGCGCTGGGGCCAGTCATACAGCAGGTCGAGAAGATAAAGCGCAAGGATACCGAATAGGGCGCCCGAGCAGCCATCACTAGGATCGAGCTGTGCGGCGTAGTTTCCCCCAAAACGAACCCGAAGATACCACTGGCGAAGTAGGTCAAGGTATAGCGCCACATGCCAACCATACGCTCCATGTCTGCACCCATAGTCATCTGAACCAACAGGTTGAATCCGATGTGGATGAATCCTCCATGCATGAAGATGGGGATAATGAATCTGTACCACTGGTTGGGAGCCGGCCGATCGTCTGTTGACCCTCCAATAGAGGGGTTGGGAACACCGCTAAAGCCGCACACTTCAGACAGTGTACAACCCGTTCCCGTCACCGTCGTCGATGTGGCATTCGGACAGAGCCACGAAAGGGTATAATTGGCATCCTGGATCCCCTCAACGTTCTTCATGCACGGGTTGTAGCGTGCTCCCATGTATATTTGGACGTATGGTGAGGGCCCGATCATCGGATTGAAGGTAGGTTTTGTCTCGATCACTGACCCTGTCAACTGAGCTGGAGCGGAAAAGAATTTCGTTAGTTGGTCCGAAATGTGGGAATCGACCGAGCCAGGAACAGAACTCACCATTCTTGACCAGTTCAATAATAAATACGATGATCTGGGCTAATGTCAAGATGTATGTCACCCAGGCAATCTTCTTGCTGAAAAATCCCTTCTTCTTTCGGCTATCACGTTGTCGGCTATCCTCCAGACCCCCTGGTGATGGAGGGTACTGCGTCTGTTGTCGCATCCAATCTGGATTGTTTCCATACTGGGCGTTGGTCTTCAGAGGTATATTTTCTGCGTAATTATCGCCTTCCGTTGCCCGTCCGGCTGTTTGGTAATGTCCATTGTCCGATGCAAATGACTGTTGACTCTCTCGGTTGTGATAAGGGGCTGAGGGATCGTCGTGGTTGTAAACCGGGCTTGCGTAGCCAAGCCCAGGCGCTGTGTGCGGGGCATTATCTGTCTTCCCGGGGACAGCTTGGTCGTAGCTGGGGGGTTGTGGAATATTTGCGTGATAGTATTCGTTGGAGGCCATGGTGCCTGGGGTTGAGTCTTTGTTTTAGAGTTCGGGAGCAAAAAGGCGAACCCGTGAACCCGTTAAGATGGTTGTAGGGAGCTTAGGTGATGAAGAGTATATATAACAAAGAGCAACCCAGATGAAAGAAAGGTAAAGTCAGGCAGTCGCATTATTCGCGAAGTTATTTTTGGGCCGATCTACGCAATCCCAGCAATGCCACAGCCGCGTGGCTGGGGCTTTTCCACTGAGGATTTTCCACTCCGCCCTAGCGGACCTGGTTACTGGTTACTTTTCCATAGGGCTGCTAACGAAGGGGCGACAAAATTGCGTCGTATCTCACTAATTTATACTTGCTCTTTTCTGTAAAGATAATCTCGAATGAATTCCCAAGGTCCCAAGGTTGTGCCTGATCCTTACATTCCAGCTTACGTAATACACAGTAAACAGCCTGCCAAGGCTCCTAATTGGGATTAGTGCCCTAGATGTGAAACCTTGTTTTCCCAGAGTGGGGGTTCAGGCCGTCCACGTGACGAGAAGCCTTTTTAGTCAAAATTCTGCCCAGAAGAGCTTAGGCGTTCTATAAAAATGTCCAAGGTTGGAGCGACTCAACTATTTTGGAAGCCTCTGTAGTTGACAAGATCTGCTCTCGGTCAATTCTTTGATTTTAATGAGGTGTGACTGTATAACTCATGAACAATTCTGCCAGAGAAACCGGTACCCCACAAGATGATACTCCAAGATGGAGCGGAGCTAAAACGTCACCTCTAGAGAGGATATTGTTTAAGGTGGGGGAGGAAATCTGCGTAGACTACTAAGGATTATTACGTTTCTGTCAAAGAGCAAGGTAAATAAAGCAATAAGGTTATTATGATATGTAGAGTATAGAGGTTCTCCGGCTTTCTTTTAGCTTTCTTTCCTCGGAGATAATGTAAATGCTAACTAGCTAGCAGAGAGAATCTAATTGATCAAATGCAGTATTTAATACTAGCTCAAGTATACGAAGGGGTTGGGGTGAAAACTCTGCAGATTAGCACAAACCTACAATTTAATGGATCCCTCTGATCTATCACTATCAATTTAGATAGCTCTCATAGTGACCTCTGAATTCATGGGGTTGTAAGTCATGTGAACGATATTAAGAAGACCTAACTAGACATACCTAAAGTAGTTTAGCGGGGATTGTATAAATATTGTGTCGGTAGCCCTTCTCTTCCTCTTTCCTCTTTCCATCTCCTGCTTCATCGCTGCCGCCATGACAGCAGCACACCAGAGCGAGACTGAAGATGGGTTTCTTCTCCTGCGCTTCCTTGGAAACATTGAGATCCCAGAGACGATCACCAACCATGTCTACATAACCAACCTTCAATCCCCGATCTCGCGACTGAGAGATCTTCGTTCAAGTCGAAGTCAGCTCCAACAACACCAGAGCGCCAATTTGTTACCTTTACCAATGTCGGAATACCACAATCACCAGCTTCGAGATCAGCACAATCTAGATTCACCGGTGTGACATATAAATCTCGCATGCGTTGGCTCCAAACGAAGACTTTATCTTGCAACTCGTGAAAATAAGACGTATTTGCGAACTCACTATCGATGGTCAGATTGACTCTGCACCGACATACGTAGCGTCAGACCAATACATCATCTTTATCAGAGAGGCGTTTTAGAATCGAAAGTTGCGCCATTTCAATTGAACGACAAGGTCAAGATACTAGAGAGTAAATGGCAAGGCTCTAAACCCCTCGACCAGGATACCACCAACACATTCAAAGAATGTTTACTCTTTTACTCTCCAACCTCTGCCGGTTATCATCCCGGGCTAGGGCGAGGAGTATACACAAAAGTCGAATTCTTTCTGCTACTGTCAATCAGCAGTCTATCACAATTTCAGCTCACTGGACCTTTTCTCCGAAGATTCTTATAACATCTTCTTTTATTCCTAAGTCGTTTGCCACTGTGTGTATCACGCATACAAAATGGAGTGAAGTGTCTGAATTGTATTGAGGATAAGATCCCTAAATCATTGGCCCCGACTACCAGCAATCTCTCTACTTCGTCTACTCGCAAACCCGGTTCTAGATATATAATGAGAAAAAAACATGCACTCTCCAACTTCCACCGAATTGGATAAAACAAATAGAGCTCCATATACACGAAATCTACGGTAGAAAAGGGCTAAAGTGTTCAATTAAGGGTCCAGGTCTATAGTTCGGAGATGTGATCGGCCCGTGTTTCTTCCCAAGGTTGGGATTCTGCCGCTGATGTCATCGCCATGTTTCATCTTCCCCGCGCCTGCGACATCCAATAGTCAACACCATCACCATGGACGACCCTCTTATCCAAGCATTGCCTCCGGCTACGGACTACCTGACTTATCTTACTCTGCTAGAATATCAGTTAACCCCAAAACGTCTGCCGCTTTTGCACACCCTCCTGCAAGATGAGAAGCTTACGACGAACATCGGCTGGGACTTGGTCAAGCTGCTGCTGCCCATGCTGCCAGCGTCCACAGAATGCCTACAGGATGTGGCTCGCCTAGGCAATCCCCGAGAAGTGATCTTGCGCGTCTCTGAGTCTTTGATGCAACTTCAGCCGGAGGACGCGGACGAGGATGAAAAGGCTGGTCAGGGACTGCCTCTGCACATCCTACAATTCAATTGTCTTCTCGGCATGCTTTCGGTCCTTCACACACGGATCCAGACAAAAGCGCCAAGTCGGTTCATATCAACCTCCCTCCAAGCAGCACTGGAAGCGTATACCACAATGGTGACCAATGAGACCACCCTCGCCTTCCTTGAGTTCTTCCGCGAAGTGTCTCCCTCCAAGCGGCCTGCACCACCCCCCAGAACTGCTAGCGAGTCGAGCGTGCTGAAAGTTGCCGCTGCCTCCGCCCCAGACCCCGAAGCCGAGGTATCCACACCCTCTCCCTCTACCGATAACGAAACCCTCCTTGTTCGGAAATTCATACAGTTCGGTTTGCTTGAACTGCTGAAGTCATATCTTTTGAGCTTCTCCAGTCCAATGGACCCGGGAATGTCGTGGACCATTCGCATGCAGGAACACCTGCATCCGGATCTGCGGCTACCCGGCACCAAATCGCAGACTGATGCATATGGATCGACCAAGGAGCTCAAGGAGCGCGATATGGTCATGGGAAAACTTATGGTAAGCAAGTTATTATGGCAGGCATTATGTCAAATTCAAGGACGATTAATCTGACTTTGCTTCTGCTTAGGCTCTATCGCGAGACGTTGGAATTGATAACGAGGAACTCCTGTCAATCATATCCGGACCCCCGATAGATCAAACTGCTCCACTTGATTTCGATGAACCACCAATAAACCCCAACCAGATTCCGCTAGAACGCCATGGTTCACTCCTACTACTAGCGGCTCGAGCTGCAGGTGCAACTCTCTTTACCTCTGGGCAACCGCTCCGTCAGGTATCCGTTTTCCCTGAGCTGAGTCAGATATTTAACAACTTTGTCGGCGGCCACACAAATCTCGACGAAGTGGCTTTCGGTCAACCCCATGCGCTTCTCGACTCCCTGCTGGCTTTGACTGTCTACGCACTGCAAAACCCCATCGAATTCCCGTTAAGCGATACCGAGTTTAAGGATTTCATTGTCATCTTGACTGCATGCACATCACGTCAGAGCCACGGCATAGTTCGCCAGATCCCGGCTGCCATTGTCCAGAGCCATCCATCAGCTGAGACGCGATTTAAGCTCATATACAAGATCTTGGAAGATGACCATCTTGCCTCGGCGCGGGACAGCGCCATCGCATGGCTGAAGGATGAAATACTCCGTAGTCCCCAATCTGCCGACAATATATTCCAGGATCCTCTCTACTTCTGGGCTCTACTGCCGGCTCTTTTCAAACCGGTCACTGCCGCCAGCTCAGCATCCGATCTCGTTGCTAGCTGGTCTCGTCTGACCCAGACCCAAGGCCCACCGCTTCATTCTGCGTTGAATCTGTATTACTTGCTACTTTCCTCGCCGTCGCTACGCGACCGGCTCCAGCTCGACAAGACTGCCAAGTTCTTCCGTAACCATGTCCTGAACCCTCTCAGGCAAGTGTTCCAGAGCTTCGAGGACGATCTCACCGCTAAAGGAGGCGAGGGTGTTATCGAAGCTGCGGTGGGCGAGGAGATGTGCCAGATTGGCAATGCACGGTCTATCGGACTTATTGGTCTTACACTAGATCAAATCGAGGAGACATCCGGCGATGCATTTGGTTCCGATGAAGGCGATCTGGGCGAATTTTCCGAGGCTGAAGAGGCTAAGGTGTCTGAAATCCGGAAGAAGATGGATATCTGGAAATAAGTACAGATCCAGGTTCCTTGTACAGAATTTAGTAGATATGATGTTTCTACGAATGAACGCTTTCGTCACCTTGTATCTAAATTTAATCAGAGTAGTACGTAGCTGATGATTTCGGTCCAACATAAGGAAGCACGAGGCTTGCCCCCTATAGACCTTTTCCTCTCGATACAGTTGAGCTACAAGAAATATCCAAGGAAGAAGATTCTTTGAGGCAATGGTCCATTCCTGTCAACTATCATGACCGATTCTAACTAAGAAATAAAGCCCTATCCATCCAAACCAACCCCGAAACAAGAAACGAATCCGCACCACATTGCAAATGAGAAACACAATCAACCGATTTTAAAAATATGTAATGTGAATCCCCGGATATAGTTGAAGGAACGGAAAAGAAGTCCCTTTCTAAAAAAAAACCGTTGTCACCCGAATCGTCCACGAAAGGTTCGAAAGAGCACAACAAATCGGAGTCGGCAGTCGTGAAGACCATCGAAAGAAATGAGCTGTCTCGTCGAAGAAAGAATGAACTGGACAGACAGACTCGCAAAGAGTCTTCACAAAAGCAAAAGCAAAGCTGAGAGGTCATGTTTCGAGGGATTGATATTTTTGGTTGAAAAGTTGAAAGGAGTCTCAAGAGTCCGCGGCGAAGATTGCAAAATAAGTAATGCGTTTCAATGTCTACCATGGTGACCAACGAACCAGGTCAAGCCATGGCGGTTGATGGAATGTTGGAATTGGGCGCCCCCATGGAGGATGTTTAGAAGTCAGCGGCTATTCACGAAGACATGTCAGTATATCAGTCGGCATTGGAGAAGCAAATGGTACTCACGGTTCATGACGACGCAGCCGCCACCGGGGGACTTCATGACGACACAGCCACCGCCGGGAGACCGCTTCATGATGTCGCAGCCGGCTCCGGGGGTTCTAGTGACCACGCAGCCGTTAGGAATGGGAGACTTCATGACGACACAGCCACCACCGGGGGACTTCATGACGACGCAGCCACCGCCGGGGGCTATTGAGATGACATGTTAGTATATGAATGTATAAAAGAGATGACGAAGCATTGTATGCTTTGGAGACAAGCTACTCACATCGCTTCTGGACCTGAGCACGAGACATTCTCGAAGATTGAGAAGAGCTTAAGAAGCTGAAGATTGAAAAGATTGTAGGTTGGTTTGAATGAGAATGTGAGCGGGTGGTGGAGGAAATAATTGAGACTGGGTGTAGAAGATGATACTTATACTCGACGAGGGACTATTCTTCGGACTATCAATATAATCGAGATCCTACTCAAGGAGTGGAAGTCAATGCAAGAGTCACATTGAGTTGCTGACTTGAATGCATTGGGCATCCATGGATTGTCGAAGGCATAGAGTCAATCTAGAATGCATGGGGTTGCGATTGTAGTGGATGCCCATTGCGGGGCCGGTTGATATTGTTCTCGGGTCCATGAATGTAGGCGTCGTTGCCTCTGATATTGGCTCTTTGTCTTGATAGGCAGTCAGTGCATCCATCGAGGGACGTTGATATGGACCGCATTACTTATCCTCCGAGGCGTGTCTTTCATGAAGGAACGCCACAGAGATGACCGAGGAACCCCTGTTCCAGGCACGTGTAGTTAGCACATTCAAGAGTCTTTCATGGGGTAAGAACAATATTAAGCCGGGGTCTCAAGTAACAAAGAACATTTCGGAGTATGTGTTTGATTTCGCCCAATGAGGATGGCATCGTGAACAAAGAAAGCTTAGGTTGACCAATCGCCACAATCACATTTCTCTTACGATTGTTCCTCAGGAACAATATCATGGGCTTGGCATCAGACAAATTTCAGATCATATTGCGCGGTGTTGAGTATCGGTATCATTTTCACTCAGAAACATGAAAGAGCACATCGCTACCAAAATAAAGAGGAAGTTAGACTTCGCTTGGGCTGAACAATTTAGCTAATGGAAATGTCCCAATTCGAGAATAAATGAGATAAGCAATGATAACAGTCCCAAATTGGCAAATGCAATCTCCCCCTCAAGTGTAAAGCGGCTCGGTCACGTCATTGAGAGTCAATCCCGACTTGGCGACATCTTCCTCGATCAAGAACATCAAAGGCATCTCAACAAGAGTACCCTTGACTTGGCTAAGCAGCTCTTTGACCTGTTTCGCCCCCTCTGCGCCAGGCGCAAAGTCATCGCTCACAACGTGGCCCCATTGGAATCGCGCTGGACGTGCAGATCCTTCCTTGCCTTCAGGGCTTACCTCGGTCTTGTGGAAATAGTACTCGTAGAACTCCTTGTACTCAGTCCAGTTGCGGATTGTGTCGTCCGGAACCGCGTGGAATACCTTCCGGAAGACCTCGGTGTTTGTGTGCGCCCGTGAGTTCCAAAGGCTTTGAGCAGTGTCGGCAAGCGGATCAGCAACGATCTTGCTCTCAGGGCAGTCAAAGTCGAAGTTGTTAGGAACCCCCACGGGCTCAAAGTTCGCGTCCGGTCGTTCATAGTCTTGCGGTGGCAAAAGTCCCAGGTGCTTCCGGAACAACTGACGGCGGAGAGATGAAGCAAAACGACTGGCAGTCCATGGCTTACCATCCATGGTGGATGCAACAGGTGTGAAATCCTCGATGATGACTGCGATCTCAGAGTCGTGATCACCCAATTGAGAACGGTCGTTCAGGTTTGCGGATCCGCAAACAACTACACGATCGTCGGCGATCATCACCTAATGCTTTGGTTAGATTTTAAATCATCATCGAATTTGGCGGGAAACGAACCTTTGAGTGAACGTAAAGCTCTTCGCTCACAAACGCATTAATCTCGGCATCGGGATGGCCATCCCACGGCACTTTACGAATATCCTCTCCGTTGAGCATATAACATTCGCTCACACTGTCCCACCGGCCCGAGGAAGCATGACCGCCCTGTACCTGGCGTGCAGCCTGCTGGTACTTCTCAAACGGTGCGGTAGTATCAAAAGCACTACGGGTAGTGCTCGGGGCATATCCACCAGGGCCCGCAGTGTTCAAATCGTACTCCCTGCGGGCATCCTCGTAATTGACGCCACTCTGCTGTTCAGCTGCAGCCATGATACCACCGTTGTTAATCCGATCGTAATTGCGAAGGTTGTAGAAACGGATATACTCCATGGGGTTAAATCCTTCCTTGGCAATCAACTCCATGATACTGTGACCTCCGCGGTTGATGGAGTTGTACTGGAACTCCATAATCGCACGTGTTCCGAGAGTCGCATCATCTCGCAAATCACCGGCAAAGCAGGGAACAGATGGGATGACCACGACAATCTTATATTTCTGACCAGCACGGGCAGCACGTAGAATTCTCTCCACAATTGCGGCACCGATCTGATTTTTTACTGGATGCTGCGAATTACCGGTCGCAGTGATAAAGAACTGATTCTCGATGTAGACAAAGTGCTCACTGTTTCGGATGATGGCGCAATATGCGTCGGCAATTGAATGCTCAATCTGAGTGCCGTTGCTCCATTTCGCACAGCTGCGAACAATCTGGCATGACATACCCCCTCGGCCTTGCGACGAGGAAGGGCGGCCATATGTGACCAGTCGATCCTGGTATTGGTGAATTTGTCCGGCGAGCTGACCACGAAGGGAGGTGCCGTATTGGGTCAGATCCTCTCGCAACCGACGAGGCGCGAAGCCTCGATCACAATCACCTTCGTACTGGTGGTAGTCATCAATTCCACGGGTGTTGGAGTGGGATGCTTCCTGGCCTGGTGGAGGTGGGTAATAGGGCGTCTGCTCCTGTTGCTGGCCATGATAGGGCTGATACGAGGCGTCGGCACTGGATTGCGCTGGTGGTGGACCAGGCGGAGGAGGGGGGAATGAGCTCCCAGTGTAGCTGTACTGGCTTGCGTCATGACCCGGGGACTGAGCGGATTGGGGTTGATAGCCCAGAGGGGTTTGGCTTGGCACTGGGTGGTAGGTTGAAGCATTCTCAGTTTGGTACGAGGGAGACGTGTTCTGCTGCTGATATTGGTGCTGGTTTGAGGAGGTCTGAGTCGGCGGTGGCGCATAACCTGAAGTGCTAGCACTGGTGTGAGGCTGATATACGCCGGCAGGTTCTTGATGCTGAGGCTGAGACTGAGATTGTGAGTGCAACTGCGGCTCCTGATACGAACTCGACGACGTCTGACCCGGTGGCGACGGGTAGGTAGGTAATGCGACTCCACTAGGCTTCTCTTGCCAGGATGGTACAGTTGACTGACCCTGCGTGCTCGCCTGTCCCGAGGGGTACAAGTTGGACTGAGGCTGGGTCTGAGATTGCGAGTGCGGCTCCTGATACGAAGTCGACGACGTTTGACCTGGTGGCGGCGGGTAGGTAGATGATGATGCGACTTCACTGGGCTTCTGCTGCCAGGATGGCACAGTTGACTGGCCTTGGGTGCTCGCCTGTCCCGATGGGTACGAGTTGGACGGAGGTTGAGACTGGGATTGCGAGTGGGATTGCGAGTGAGACTGTGGTTCTTGATAAGAACTCGACGACGTCTGACCTGGTGGCGGCGGGTAGGTAGATGATGATGCGACTCCACTAGGCTTCTGCTGCCAGGATGGCGCAGGTTGCTGGCTTTGTGGGCTCGCCTGTCCCGAGGGGTACAAGTTGGGCTGTGGAGAAGCAGCCTGCTGTTGGCCAGTCGAGTAAGCGGGCCTTCCATGGAGTGCCAGTCTCGTGTATCTAGATTCATTGCGAATCTTGTATTTCAAATCATAGATGAAATTCCATCGCTCCACAAAGTGACGTCGCAAATCTTCCACGGCTGCACCGTGCAGGCTCACGGATATATCAGACCATCCCATCCGAGACATGGTCTTTCTGTCCAACTGGTTATTCTCCCAATGGACAACATCTTCGAAATCAAGGACGCGAGAATTGTTGTAGTCCTGCCCAGGGAACACAGTCTGGTTGACATCTGAGGGATGTAGATCCGAGAGGCTATGTTGGTTTGTGTCCCAGCGACCGAAGCACAAGTCCAAGCCACCCATGAATGCAATTTGACCATCGATCAGGCAAAGCTTCTCGTGATGAGCCCAGTACAGAATGACATCATCGCGCATTCCGTACAGTCCCTTCAATGTGTCCTTTGACATCTTACTCAAACTTTTCGAGTCGAGTGACAGGTTCTGCAAGGTCGACTCGATGTCCGCTGTCATCTCCTGGCGGTCAGGCAGGTGGTCAGGGTGACGGAAGACAGAGATATTGGGGTGCAAATCTTCTAGGGCATGTTTTGTGTGAGAAGAAGACACTGTAGGGACTGTTAGTTGGGGGTTCTTTTCAATGTTCAAGAATCGTAGACATACGAGTGAGCGCCTGCGTAACCTCCTTGTAAACTATGACATTGACGCGCACGCCCCGCTGGGCTGCAGCTTGCAGCATGCGATCCAATCGGTACTGTTCATTCTTCGCCGGTGGCCTTCTCAAATAAAGTTCGGGAGACAACCACCCTAAATCAAGTTAGCCGCATGCAATGTAAATCCGGAGAAGATTGAAACTCACAGTCCAGAATCCAAATCGACTCTCGGGCGTTTTCCAGAGCCCGCGAGACAGCCCAGAAATAACCGCATCCATCCACATACCACTTGGCATCGTTATGTTCCCGGACAGGAGCGAAGCTATCAAATCGATGCTCTGTGTTGGTATTGCTGGGACCATACTGAGCATACGCCTGTGGATCGATGGTGGTACCGATCTTCTGGGCGAATTCAGAACCAAGCTCGGTCACAGTACCTTGAAGTTTGTCCAGGAAACCGGACAGTTTGTCTTCCTTTTGAGGTTTTCCATAGTAGTTAGGGTTTTGTTGCTGTCCACTTGTGCTTTGGCTCTGATCATATCCGTATTGCGGTTCGGTCTGGCTCTGCTGTAGAGAAACGGTTAGTTAATGTAAAAGGTGGAGGAGGGTGAAGCCTACGCCTTGATAACCCTGGTTAGCTGGGCCGGAGGATCCGTGGCTCTTGTAGGTGTCGCGGAACTTCTTGAACGTATCGCCTAGACCGCGGGAACCGTCTCCGGACCCACGTTCCGAGCCCTGGTAGTAGCCACCATAGGCCAGATCATCCTGGTTGGACATTTTGACGGCTCAAAGTAGTTTGTAGATGCGATAAAATAAAGATCGTTGAACAAACAGAAAGAAATTCAGAAGAGTCAAGAAACTAGGATGCCTGCGGAGCGGGGTGCGACTGTTTTAAATCGTATGAAGGCCCCGCTACCCAGCCCAGCCACGATGGGAACGTGTTGGATGTGGCGGTGTACTTGTACGTACTCATGAGATGGCATGATTATCTTTCTAAGTCGGGATATTGCTGTATTCCTATATATAGGCAATAGAATAAGTGAGACTGTTAGATGTATACTTACTTACTACATGGCACTAATCCGAGTACAACCGAAGATATGTATATATGTCACACACCTTTCCCTCCGAATAATGAGCTATTTGACGGTAAAAACAAGACAAAGAAAACAAGAAGCTATATTCTGAAACAACGAAAAGCCCTATATAAAACAAGAAAGAGTTTCAAGTTCAAACATGAAGCCAAGTCCTTCTGCTTTCGGGAATGCGGGCTTGGCATTCGGATATGTATCCAGGAATCTCCCGAGGTCCACTATGAACCTTCATACTCCCAATGGTACGGAGTACGGAGTACTGCAATGCCCACAGGCCAAGTAAAACGAACCTCTCTTGGGCGACCCCGAAAGCCAGCCGAAGATGCAAAATCCGTGAGGCCCCTTCCCGGAAAGTAAAGATCAGAACTCGGTCTCACCTCTGGCACAGATACGACGCGCCCAGGTCCGTGAAGCGCAGCAGGCATACCGATTTCGCCAACAGTCCCAGCTCTCTTCACTAAAAGCTCGCGTAGAGCAGCTGGAAGATGTACTTAATCAGCTGAGTCAGACGGTACATGCATTCGATAATCAACTCATCCAGCATGGATCGCAATGGTCTCAGCCCCAACTTCTCCAGACAGTCCAGTTGCTGCGGGATGATATAATGTCCCATTTCAAGCGTGCCGATATTCACTTTCAAGAGTCCACAGAGGACCAACCCTCAGAATTATCCCAGGCTGTTAATGAGCAACCCCACGCGCTGGTCGCGTCCGAGGTGTCAGCCGGCAGATTAAAAGATCACACTTCGGGGTCTGACTTCTGGAAATTATTTTTGGGCTCGTCTGCTGGCATGATTCCGTCGACTAATACCCAGAACCTGGATAACCAATCGAATGACTTGGTTTCAATTCCTGTCGCACCATCTATTGCCGAAACACATACCATTCAATATGCAACCACGCCCTTCACCCAACGGCTTTTCCGCGCTTGCGCTGAAAGTGGCCATCGATTTCTGTCGAATCTCTCATATAAAGATGAAGATATGTGGGAGTTCGGACTACTGCTACAAAGAATGCCACGAGCAGAGATCCAACGTTATTTCGGACGTGTCATAGACATGGAACCGTGCAATCCTATCGTCGATGGCCGATTCCCATATGTCAGCCTCGGTGGTGCAGGAACCCACTTTTTACAACCTTCCAGTGACTCCTTTTCAGATAGCTTCGCCCTCTTCCGAACAGCAAATGGCGTGTCTCATGTTCCTGCCGATGAAGACTGGTTTGATGTGCATGATGTTGAGAGATACCTGCTCAACAAAGGCATTATTGCAGGCGAATTTCCTTCCGCCCTTACGATATCGTATCCGTTTAGTCCAGATGCCAGGCCTTCGAACCTAGAAATCCCTCAAGGCGAATTACCTGGCGGTGTGATGATGGTCATCGACGAGTATAAATTGATCAACAGTACGGTTACACTATTGTTGTTAATCTCGGTGAATATAATAAAAGCTAACATAGCCAGGATTGAGCCAGCTTCCAGTCGCTCTGGGCTGTGTGGCTGGCTTTCGCCGGTCTGATGTCGAGAGGGTAGTATCCCACAATGTGAGGTGGATCTCAGTTGGATTTACTGGCTCGACAGGGTAGGCATGTGTGCATTAATTTATTTGAACCTGCGGAGTATCACAATTTCCTATTTACTTTATACACGCAATAAATCAGACACAATCTGTTTGTAACCATCTACTTACCCTTGTTTCGTCCAAGTCTTGCGAGTTGCTGCGACTTCTTCCGTTGATTATATGGCCATTCGACGCCAAAATTGCACCACCAAGTACTCTAGATTGAGCTAGAGCCCCAGACCATGCCGGCGAAAAGATGTCCGACTCATGACCTCCTCCCGCCAATACCATACAGCCGCCACAGTCGCACCCGGTCCAATTGCCACGGAACCTAGAATCAAACCAGCCAGTGCCACTTGCCAGGAGACATTAGACACTCCAATGCGGTACAGATCCCACACGCTAGCCAGACACCACAGGAGAGTTGCCGCCGAAACAAGGAGGAAATCGTTCTGGAAAAACACGAAGACACCGTCCGCAAGTGTTGCCACCTGTGCGAAGGCATCGGATGGGATGAAGGCCCTTGTAATAAAACCTGTCCCCAAAGCAGCCCAGCTCAGCAACAAGGCCACATGGAAACAAGCAGATACACCACCGGCCACAGCGTAGAGGGTTTGCAAGAGTGGGATGTCACGGTTTGGTTTGCTCTCCGCTGCGGAGCTATCGGTCTTGGCCGGTGTGCTTGAACTGATCGATTTGATGACGCGGGAGAATATGTGAGTCAAGATAAGCACGTATACCGGAGCAGGCTGCCACAGCACAATGAAGACCTGTCGCGTGTTCGGGGCATCAGCCAATGGGAAGAACAGCATCATGGTAGGCACGACGAATCCCAAAATCAATGCTGGCAGTATCGCTCGAGCGGTGGATTCGGGAAGTGTGCGGGTACTTGGGGAAAAGTATGCTATCCCCGAAGAAACATATGTGCTTGATATGAAGAAGAGCGGTGCAATCAACCCTATCCCTCGCAACTGGTATAGAACCGCCCACAGGCTCGGAATGGCAAGAAGGGTCCATTTGTTCCTTGGTCGGAAACCTTCAACCGTCCAGATAGCGATAATCGGCATCATCGAGCCTAGGAAGTACAGAACTTGGAATGGCTGCTCCGGCTTTGAGAAGTTGGAGACCGCTGGCAGGAATATTGTCACCATGACTTTCAAAATGAGGTCAACAGGTCGGATTCCTGTGTACACCTGGCGAAGGGGAGCTTCGATTCCTCCCGGGAATTGAACCGACTGGTTCTGGATTGACTGGCGGACGAACCCCATTGTTCCATTTGCTCTGATTGCTGCCGACAATTGACGATGGCCTAACCAGGCTAGGAGGAAGTATGCAGCGTACAACAAGATGCTCACCACACCCCGAGATGACGGTGTTCTGAAACGCTCGTCGAAATATGCAATTTCTCGAGGCCTGTGCGGCAGTGGAAGCATGTCCAAGGACACTGCGGGAGAATACGTGTCGATCCATTTGCTGAGGACAGTGGATTTGGAGAAGCGTGGCACCACGTATCTTGCTATGAACTTCAAAAAGGGCGTTTCCAGGCACTCCAGACGTTGCCGGGCATGGGATACTTTGATCAATCCCCATGCACGTTTTTCACGCTGCTGTTGAACGCCCTCAAAGATTTTGGAAATTTCTGCCGATGACAGGGTGCCTGACTGGCTGTTTTTCAAGGCCGCAACGAGATGATTGGTCAGGGACGCGGCGGTTTCCATTGCATTATTGCCTCCCTGGCCTGTCAACGGCTCAAACTATTGGACGGGGATATTGTTAGTCTTCGTATGATATTTTCGGAGATAGGTAGTCTCACCTTGTGACTGGCATCGCCGATAGTCATAGTTCTCTGGAAATGCCATCTTTTATAGACGTATTCTGGCAGACTGCTGTATGCCGAGGCGATTTTGCTCTTATACAGAGCGGAAAATTGCAGCGTGGGAGTAATCTGGTCGTCGAAATGTTCCGTTGCGACTGCCTCCTCCTCTTCCTTGGTGAATCGAGGGATATCTGCGCCATAGTACGTTTTGCCCATGTTCCGCACGAGAAACCAGTAGGTGAGATCTCCGGGTCCGCTGGGAACAAGATACGAGAAATGCTCATTGAACACCGAGTTCAGCGCGCCTTTCTCGATTCCCTTCACTCCTTTGGAAATGCCGAAGATGCATGCGTAAGTTGCAGGCAGATCTTTCACAATAGTTAGTTAACACTTCTCAAGCGCTTATGTTTTGATTTTCATACTAGATTCCTCTGTGGGATCAAACCATGTGGGATCTATCTTTTCGGCCGCTTTCCACATTTCTTGGCGCACTTTGGAATGGATTCCGTCTGCTCCGACCACGATATTCCCGGTGTAGGTCTGACCAGTCGTTGTGGTCACCGTGACACTCGAAGTACCATTCTCAATACTTTGAACCCGCTGAGAGGTGAGCACTTTGGATTTATCTTGGATCTTTTTGTAGAGGATTTCTATCAACATTCGTCGATCGAGGAAGACGATCGGATAACCATGACTGGAAGTGATGTGAGTTGATGCTGTTCAATATCGGCATATAAGAGACAAACCTTCCGATTGAAACCTCGTCAAGGTTATTGAATGTCCAGAATTGCTGTCCCTGCGAATCACGGAAGCGGAGTGTGTCGACAGGGTATTCTGCCATCTTCATAACCGACTCGTAACAACCCAGCTGATCGAGAATGCGAAAGCCGTTTGGCAAAACTCCAAAACTGGCCCCGACCTGGGGTGCAATGCTGCCGTACGCTTCAAGGATGACAAAATCGATGCCATTCCTCTCTAGCATTAGGGCCAGCGAAAGCCCGGCAATGCTACCACCCACAATGACGACTTTGAAGGGTTTTTGGTTCATGATTGATGATCGGAGGAGATTTAGAATCGAAGATGCATTGGTATCCTGGACCGCGACTTATATATGTCGGGCGTAATTGTTGCAACTAACCCATAATAGAAAGCCGATCGTGTCAAACATCTATTGAACTGCCTAAATCGGAGGAAAAACGTGCCGTGATCATTGATCAACCTGTCAGCCGGGGGAATTACTTGAATGATCAATAATCGGACCCATAGGAGTCTGGCGGAACTAATTACGGACACGGTGATCCACTATATTATTCCATGATTCTATTGGATAATCATATTGATCTACAATGTACGGAGTACATACGGAGTAGTCGAGAAGAATTAGTACCTCTACCTACAACATACAAAGTCCATTGCATCACCAGACTGCGCACCGGCCAGTCACAGAAATCGTGGTGCCATGGCACACGTATTATGCCTTGTAGGGCTCCATCATGCTAACAACGCCAATCAGCCTTCGAATGCCAAGCAATTACTAGAATAGGTAGATACATGTACCCAGTGTAACTCACTTAATAGAGTAACCTAGCCGGGTGAAAATCCAGCCGTTTCAATTTTCAAGACTACTTTGAATATGAAAGAAAGATAATTCATTGTTCAGTATCTAAATCAGGGAAGTAAAGGAGAAGAACTACTACATTGTCCTCTTTACCAGATGATTTTCTTTGGGCCCCTCACTGGATACTGTTGATAGAAAGGACGACTGGTCAAGAACCTCTCGGTCGCCCAGCAGTACTTTCGCGGGGGAACTTTCAGTATACCAAGCGAGATAGCCTGGTGTAGGTAAATAGGGCGCTTTAGCATCCATACCTGGCGAATCTTGTAACCGTATGTGGATAGCTTGTTGTCTATATTGGGTACAGCCTCATTGTGTGATATACACACTACATACTCAATACGCTGTAGTGGAGCGGTGGTATAGAACCAGATGCGGCGAACGGTGGCTGGGAGGGGATAGCAGCGATATATATTGGTTTTCCTACAACGAGCAATCTCTAGCGCATCTTCGGGTGGGATGCTCATGAAGACATCTGTGGTTGACTTTTTTTCCATAGTGGCAGTTTTGATAGTGGTGGATAATTCTTACAAGGAGACGTGGCTTCTTTTATATATTTAGCTGTTGGTCTTTCATGTGCTTCCATGCTTTGTGTCTGTAAAATTAGCCCAACCAAACACATTTATTAGAAGCCTTTGAGATAGAAGCATTGCCTTGTACTTTTTGCACAAAGCTATTCACCCCCCAGTTTATCAGGGCTCGAATACTTAATGGACAGATGCCACAGTTCCGTTAACGCTGAAGACTGGGAGGAACAATCACAGACATGGATGCTTGGAGAATCTACAAAACCTACAGAATGAAGATACAAAGAGAAAGTGTGGATGATATTCTAGGTAATCGTATATAGACCAGAGAGAAAGAGGGGGCTATCTACTACAAAGGAGATTTAACTAGAGGTAATTGGCGTGCGCCGTTAGCGATAATGGGACATTCCAGACCAATTGATGCTATGTATTTATAAAACCTTCACCAGCACCAAAATGTGGACTACCAATACAGCCGCAATCCAATGCTCTCCGCTAAGCAAATCTCACAGTCGCCCGTAAGGGTTATAAGTTGGTATGTCCGAGTGCTGATCAAGGTAATCGTGGGAATCATCACCACTAAGCCCTCGGAGATTGACAGGCGCACTTGTAAAACTTTGCTGGCTATGTCTGGATATCCACCTTGCCCAACCAATGATAAGCACAAGCCCAAGCCCAATAATGATCACAGCGATGGAATATCCTATTACAACGGACTTGGACGCAGATGACCAAGTAAGTCCGATGCCTCCGTTGACGATCGCGAGGAAGATGATGATATGTCCAAAGTAGCGATGGATAATGCCAAACCTGGTAGGTGACTTAGTCTGTTTATATACCCGGTGATGCCAAAATCCCATTCCCCACTGAGCTAGCATTGCAAGCAGAAGGATAATACCAAGGATCTGGTGCGCGGAGCCGTAGTTTTGCGATTTTGTGAACATCGTGCTTAGGTAAAAGCCGATTATTATGCCGACGATCGCAATTGCTGAAGAAAGTGTCTGGTTGATCCAGTGCCACCGGACACTTTTCGGAGCAACACGGAGGAGAACGACGCCGGCTGGCATCAGAAGGATGAGAGCTCCACAAAGGCACAGACCGTGAATGATGCTAGGCCAGTTGCTGTCGTTTGTAATTGATTTGCTCAGCACCGAGCCAGTTGAGTTTGTATACGACGTTGGTAGTCCACCCGAACCGCCGGTTGCGCGGACCATATCCATAGTGAAGATGCCTAGGATGTCAAAACAAATTAGTGTCCAGGAGCCCGAGTAAATACCGTTCAAGTAAGATATCACGAACCATATTCTGAGTGTCTCTCTATGTTTGCCGTTTGAGAGTTACTGCGTAGCATGGCAGCCGAACTACCAGTTGGACCTAGCCCAAAAATCCACGGCTGAGACGTGGATTTCAAATCCAATGATCCAGTCTCCCACTGGGTGCAGTTTGAGCACCTAGCATTCACGGTCATGACGTTATCGGAGATACCTGTACCATTGAGAATGTCCACCTTGATCGAAGATGAATACACAGGTTCTTGTTCACCGGAGGAGAGACGAGGGCTGAAGGTAATATCTAAACAGGCGCGTCAGGATTGTCTTCTCAGAGGTATTTGGGTCACGTCAACTCACTTTCCCCATTGGCCTTGGAGTAGATCACAAACATGAGAGAGTCTTTCATTTCATTTCCAGTCCCGACCGCAATCCATGAATAGTCCGTCGGCCCAGACATGTGGAAGTAGAGATCGGTGGAGCCATCGGGGATGTTGATAGCAAAAATGAAATTGGCCTGGTTCTGGCTAAGAGGCAGATTGAAAATGCTCGTAGTAGTCGAGTCGGACACGGCAGATGCAAGGGCAATAGAGTGAAATAAATGGCCTGTTAAGAGCCAGTGATTTTGTTAGATAACATGTGAAGCAATACCAAAATGGCTAAGCATCAGGACCTGACCGACCTAGCAAAATCACGACTTCGGGCCTTGTAGGCAGTCGCATGTTGGCAATTGTAATCTCCCTGTATGTCTTGGAAAGGAATTGAAGACACAGCTCTAAATTGATTTCATCTTCCCTCTATTTGACTTCACTATATACGTATTCCCCGCTTATCTATGAGTGACATCTCGCCTTAACGTGATTGGCCCGGCCAGCATGGTCTGGGCGTTGAAAAGGGAACTTGTCATTTCCTAGGGGTCTTTTTCAGAGTGGATGCCTGGCACTGCCACCGTGATAGTGGAGTTTTTGGCTTGTCTAACTAGTATAACGTAGTTACCTATTGTTGTTAGGTTCCAGGATTAACTGTTTTAACTGTTGGTTCCCACGGATAAATAGCTTATCCGGTCCCACGATTTATTTTAATGCTTGTACTAACTTGTTTAGGCAATCTTCAGGTCCCCACATAGCCCCACTTTCTTGTACTGTCATATACTTGTAACATCAAAGTTACACATACAAATGAGGTAACACGTATGATTCAGCTTCAATTCTTTCAGATCTATGAGAATATAGGTGAAAAGTGACTATTCATCACACAAGATGTATTTCGTAGATGTAAATTTTGCTAGGTAGACGGAAAAAGACGGAAAAGGCTTGATTGTACAACCTTGAATGAACCATAGTTAGACATTGCCAGTTTCCCCGCAGTACATCTGTCTCATAACATCATCCTCGATTGCCAAGCAAAAATCAGTCATTCAGCAATTGAAGATCATTTACCTAAATCAATCCATCATGTCTCTCGCAACCCTACATGTGAGAATGCCCATTGTCAACCCGCAACCCCGCTGACCTCAATCCAGACCACAGAGCACTCCAATCTCCCCGCCGTATCCACAATTCTCTTCAAAGCCAAGGCAGCCCACAAGCTGAGCTTCGAGGAAATTGGCGAGCACCTCGGTCGCAATGAAGTAGCCGCAGCTGCCATATTTTACGGACAGGCCAAGGCATCGCCCGAAGACATCGAAAAGCTGGCCGATCTGCTTTTCATCCCCCAGCAGGCTTTGGAGGATCACCTCAGCGGCTTCCCCGATCGCGGTCACTCCGTCGAAATGCCGCCCAAGGAGCCCCTCATCTACCGACTGTATGAGATTGTGCAGAATTATGGTTATGCCTACAAAGCGGTTCTCAATGAGAAATTTGGAGATGGGATTATGAGTGCTATCTCGTTCTCGACGAAGGTTGAGAAGGAGGTTGATGAAGATGGTAATGACTGGGCTGTTATTACTCTTCGTGGAAAATGGTAAGAGTGTCTTCTCTATGTGTGTGAACATCATCTGACGAATGAATAGGTTGCCCTTCTCTCGGTTCTAGGCTGAAGGTGTTCCTAAGAGCTATTGTATTCACATGGTTTTTATGACTCCCAACAGGTTACTCCTCCAAGTTCTTACTTTTCTATACCATCAGTGAGAGAAGTGCAGGATGGTAGAAAAACGATAGTCACCATTCTATCAAGAATTTAGATATATCTGACTTCAGGGGACCAAGTAAATCCATCTGAGACAGCTCATTGATGTATATGTAGAAGCCTGTGTTTAGAGTTCATGTGTGTAGAGTTACTTAGGAGTTAGTAGGAAGCGTTCAGACAGTGTTATGTTGGTTCGACCTCAAAAAGGCAAACGAGCATTGAGATAGGAAAGAAGGAAGAACAAGAAAAAAGGAAGGAATAAGGTATGGGAGGATCACCATCAAAAAAAAGTCCCCATTAATCTAGATCGTTCCTAGACCTCAGGAGGGTATGTCCAAAGCACGAAGTGCAATGGTCCATGGTCCTCTCCTCCGGCCTTTCCCCTATATGCCTCCACTGACCGTACTAACTACGACCTCCCCCTAAGTAACGGTGGACGGAGTGCCATGTCCATTCCCGCGGGGGGTTTGCCTAGCGCACTGCTTGCAGTCTTCGGGAGAGCTTTAGCATATAGGAGTCCGAACCGACAGTGGGGAGCTAAGCAGTACCCGTTAAGGCGAAACGTCCGTTGGGAACGTAACGCCCGTTGAGAACGTCCCTCGCAAGGGACGACCCGGCCATACTACCGCTGGGCCACTGGGGGGGGCTGATTGTAATATTAGTCTTTGTCTTCTTTACGTAGGACAAAAACTTAAGGACCAAGTCACTTGGGATCTTAGACCTCCGATTTATCTGCCTTCCTACTTGGATAGGAGTTTCAAATTTAGTACATAGCATCTACATAAGCTGAGCTGTATATAGGCTAACTTTTGAGAGCATCTAAACATAGAAAAGTGGTGGTTGGCAGCCATTTCAACTCTCGGGTACATGCATATCAAATCAAAAATGAGGGTATTCAGACACCCATTTTAGGAAGGCACGACTACGGTGAGAGCTGGCTGAATTCTCAAAGTCATAGGATCGATTCCCGGCCTCGTCAAATAAATTCAATGCACTTTTTTGGGGTTTCCTACCTTTTTCCCACTATATTGCCCAATATCAGAACACCATGACCTCCAAGGCTCTTCCGCATATACTTCCACGAAAGAATCCCACTTTGTCAAAGAGAAATCAATGTTTCGTTTGCCTCCCAACGCGTTAAGATTCCGTCTATCACCTTCTTGCTTTTCCCCTTTCATCGCTCTTCTAGTATTCTGGTTCTTTCACATTTCTTTCCTTCTCTAACTATCTTGATATCCTATCTATCTCACTTCATCACCTTAAAGGTTCTTTACAATGGCTGAAGAGCCGGAGGAGGTGTCTTGTACCTTCCAGGGCTGCAGACTTAGCTTCAAGTCTGCCGGCGAGATGCAATACCACAAGGCGAATGCAGACAGACACTCTTACTGCATGAAATGTGACCTCGACTTCCAGTCGCAGCAGGCCCTCCATCTGCACAAGATTATGAGCGACCGCCACTTTGCTTGCCCCGAATGCTGTCTTGAGCTCCGCAGTGAGGCTGGTCTGGAAGTCCATATGAGAAATGTGAGTCGCCATCCTTTATGGCAACCTCCAAAGAAACAAAAAAACAGTACCAACAAACTCATCTTTTCTAGAATCACCAGGAAGGTCGTGAAGTCGCATGCATGGGATGCGGTTGCACGTACAACTCCGCTTCTGCAGTCATCAAGCATATCGAAGACAAGGGATGCCCCGTCCTTATGCTGCCTGAGAAAACCCGCGATGCCACCAGCCAGGACCTTCCCAGCGCAGCAGCAATTCTGTCCATGGGTCGACATTCGCCTGGACCACAGTATCCACCCTCTGAAGCCTCTAGCGAGGACCAGGACACGGATGGTGGCGTTCCGCTGGATTTCTCTACGCCTCGTATGGAAGGAAAGCGCCCTGCTCGCGACACTAACTATGCAAGCTTTTCTCTTGATGATTGGCCCGAGCTGGGCACTCCAGCGACTCCAGTCAAAGGCAAAGAAGGAAGTAGCTCCACTGAATCGTCCGGAGGTGCCCGCCTCGATGATCTTTTGAGTTACGACAGTCCTTCCCCGTCTCCTCGCGGAGCTACTAACCAGTCGAGCGAGGCTGGATCTACTCTGGCTGTTCAAGAAGCAGGCCCTTCTCACCATGCTAGATCCACTCGTTGCCGAGCTACAGCTCACCGCAAGATTCAAGGTGTGGACCCTGAGAGCTTCTGGAATCATGAGAAAAGTCGCTACTACTGCAACTGTGGTGCGTCTTTCTTGTACCTCGCCACCTTTGAGTATCATCTTACGATGGAGGATGAAACAATCAGCGAGTAAGTATCTTCGTTTCTATCCGTTTATCTTGCGAAGCAATTCTCACTAACAATCTTTTTTATAGTTGCCCTCGATGCTTCAAAAGATTCAAGACCCTCGCAGCGCTCGTCGCTCACATGGAGGCTCGATACTCCAAGTGTGCTTTCCGTGTGACCACTGGCCAGATTGAACAGGAGCTCAGTGAAGTTACTCGTGGCTTCGCCGATATCTCGCGGATGATTGGGGATGATGAAACGGAGCTGGGCGAGATCGATTTCGATGTGAGTAGCCAGCCCGAGAACAATACTACCGGGGCTTCGGATGCAGACGCCGCATCTCTGAGTGCAGATGATGTCTCTTTGAACGCAGTGGCCATCTCTTTGGATGCAGATGACGTTGCTTCAAACGCAGCAGCTGTATCTTCCAACGCAGGGGCCGTTTCCCCTACCATGGAATCCCTAGTGAGTGATTGGGAGGGTCTTATCTTTTCCGATGCACACGAAGAAAATGACAAGGAGGACCTTTGAGGCGAGGTTTGGGATTGAGAACAGGGGTGGGATTTTGTGGATGAGCTTTGAGGATGGTATCTAGGGGTTATTCTTGGAGGGTGAGCTTCAAGGCTAGCTGCTACGGTTCTACGGATTGAATTTTACTGATATCAAGGAAGGATAGAAGGGGAATCTCCACTTTTACATAGTTTCATAGCACAAATCACCTTGATCAAACTTCTTGCCTGGAGTAGAGCTAGTATGCAGCCTCTGGGACTCAACTATATGAATCAACAATGACAGTACAGGTACTACGGAAAACAAGATCAGAAACGAGACTGGATTTCAATTTGCTCAACTAGAAAATGGAAAATAAATATGTAAAAGTTGAGTCCAGACTCCATCTTCACGCAAAGGCTCCGGCAAATTGTCGAGAACAAGAGTCATAATGGCTAAATAGGCATATAGAGCATAGAAAAGCATATAAAGTAGAGCAACATTGCCCATCGAGCCCGGCTAGTCCCCACCCTCGATATCCCCCGTCCCAAGGAATCAATCACCGGACGAGGCAAATACGCAAAGCCATCGAGCAAGAGCAAGGTATCGAGTATATCGAGGGGATCAAGCCGATAGCGTGCTAGAACGACCACGCAACTAGCAGCAACACTCGCAGCATTCACAGCATTCGAAGCAGAGAAGACCGGCGCAACTAGATGATTGTCAGTTTGGCTTGGTAAGTTTGTGGTCCGGACGCATTTGGCTTACAGGCCGCAGCAGACATCGCCAGTGCCGCCACCACGCAGCTCCAGCTTCAGCATGTTCTCCTGGGAGTTCTGGGAGGATATTAGTCTGGGGTTTTGTGAAGGGGGGTTGTGTCTTGTATGGCATACAGGCTGCTCGGTTACCATGGGGTCGGTGGAGGGGGCCTTTGGGCTGACGGGCTGGTGGTTCTCAGTGCCTGTTGTAGCATCGCTGGTGGAGGTTGGAATGGACTCCTTGGAGGAGAACCAGGAGAAGAGACTGTTGGCAAACATCTTGATTGTGGGATGGAGATGGGAGATTTAGAGAGATGGTGAGTGGAAGGGGAGGGGAAGTTCAATGGGGGAAGTAGGTACCTATAGGTAAGCTCTGGTATTGGATTTGCTAATTGTATGACCTCGAGCTGACTACCAATAGAGTGGGATTGTCTACCTTGCCAATCATGTATCAAGCTGAATTTAGATCCTTGTTCTTATGTTATATTCAATATTTAATATTTAATAAACTTGAAGTATATGTGGTTATGAATATTTTACACAGATCCCGGTGAATCCCAAGCGTAGTATGTACATGTACTTGGTGTCCTTTTGTATATATTGTGTCTTTCCCTTCTGTTGTAGTCAGAAGGAGTAATTCACTATATTCAACAAAATTATATGTCAACATCTATGATCTATGTGAATCCAAAAATAGCCTTACGACGATCAATCCGATGCCAAGTATCGTGCCAAGCCCAACCGCCAACCATAAATTTTCCTCCAACCGCAGCCTCCGCAATATCATCGACCTCAGACCAAACCAAAAATGGCAACCCCTTCACCCACAGACCTAAACGCCTCCCGCGAAGCAGACTACAAGCGCTTCAAGAACTATGCAGCCTACACATTCCTAATCGGTGCACCGATCCTAATCGCCCTCCCACCACGCAAACTCGACCCTCTCACCGTCCTAGTACTCTGCTCCTTCGGCGCGTCCGCCAACCACATCGTGCACGAACGCACAGGACGCAGCATAATCGACCGGATTGACGCGCGCATTTCCAGCATGCAGCGCTCATTCTCTTCCCTACCGAGCGAGCGCGCGCAGGAGATCCAGGCACGACTCCGGGCCGCGCGGGATGCGCAAATCCGCATCGCTGAGCATGAACAGTTGAAGGCGCGGATTTTGTCGCTTTCGGATAAGCAGCGCCGGGAGCCGGATCCGGTTTTGATGGAGGAGATTCAGAAGCTGAAGGCGAGACAGGCGCAGGAGGAGGACGTTGTGCGGCGGCTTTGGATGGGTGGGGAGTCCGAGGGGTGGAAGGAGAGGAGATTGAGGGAAGAGCAGAAGGCGCTTAGTGAGGGGAAGGGATATGGGGATTTGATTCAGGAACATATTTGGGATGTTTGGACTTGGGGTGGGAAGGATGGGAAGGCTGGTGAGGGTGTTACGGATGAGAATGTGGCTGAGAAGAAGGATTGAGTTCTTCATTCTGCGGTTTATGTCTGTTTTATGTATCTTGTACAGCGTCTCTGCCTCTCTCCCCACCTTGATGTATTATATTTTGCCCTGCTTTGCATTGGGATAGGTGTTTGGTTGCTTTTTGAGTTCCACCTGCCAGGAATTTATCAGTCTGTTCGTGTTGGGATGTCCGTGTACAATACATTCATTCGAATAAGCTGCAATTGTCTACAATATGTATCTACTCTAGTATTCTAGTGTATCCCCATCCCAGAATGTATTAGTTACCTGACGTCGAAGGCCATCGCCTATCTCGAAGGATCTTACAGCCAGTCAACGGCATCTACAAGCTTACAGAAAATGAACCAAGTGGAGAATGATAGTTCTTTATTTCAAAATACATCTTCGAAAACCATGAGACCCTCAACGACCATGGCATCGCGAGACTCCCAAGCCAACCAAATTTAGTACAAATCCTCTCATATCCAATAAAACAAAGTATATCCCTCCTATAAACAAATAAATGAAACATGAAATATATGCAAAACGCCCAAAACAGATGGTATAAATGGCAAGACCCCTCATTCGAGCCGTGGGATGAAGATGAGCGGCTGGTTTCTTTTGATGTAGATGCTGATGCTGATGCCGATGTTGATGATAGATGTTGTTGGTCTTCACCCGACGGGGCCATGGGAAAATCCGGCAAACTCCTTGTTGGGTGCTCGGTAAAAACCATGGTCAGGACTGCACTCTAAGTACAGCTTCCTTGATATCATTCCTCCATTGCACATGTACCCATTCGAATCCTTTTCCTCCACGATCTGGTCCTCCCTGCAGATGGGGCCGGTGCGCCATCTGCACCAGGACCAGACGATGTTTGTGATGTGTCGTCTGTCGATGGAGTCTTCCGCGCCCTACTCTGGGTGGGTTACCCGTCTGTGACGGTTCGTACCCAATATGAGGAACCCAGAGATCTTGGGGCTGATTCGGAGGTCGGTGAATGGTGACCGACGTGGGAAAGTGTGATTCCGTTGTTGATGTCGACTTGTTGTCTTTTCGTGAGGCGACTAGAGCAGGGTTGGCTAAGCCGCTATCTAGTGGAGCTCAGTTGGGGACGAAGCTAGGATCCAATTCGCTAGCTAGTCTGAGCATGCTCTCGGCCTGTTGTAAAGTTAGAGAAAGTAGTTACATTCAGGGTTTCCTTGCAACTTTGGAGAACTGATGACTTTGGGATGAAAAGCTGGAGGGTGGAAAGTTGGGGGACGGAATTCGGGGGGACGGAAAGCAGAGTGATGGACATCAGGTTGATGGAAAGCATGGGGATTGAACTGGAAATTGGAAAGTGGGGGACTAACCATTTCCTTGATTGCAACAGCACCCAGAGCGAGGGCTTTGATTCTCTGTAAAGAAGTTAGTGCATGTTGCAGCCCATGTGCCGCTTCCCAGAGATAACTCACTGGATCAGGGAGCACTGGATCGGGAAGAGCTGGAGCGTCGGGCATCTCGATGTCATTCTAAATCCAATGTTAGCAATCGATCTTCGACAAGATGGATTTGAATGTATCAACTTACTGGTTCATCGGATGGTGCATCGTCCATCTGAACATCAATGTTTGATGGGTGAATGTCGAGGTTGTAATTTTCGTTCTGGTTGCGGTAGGCTAGACGTCTCCGATTGCCATTTCGAGCCTGGCCCTATTATATATTGTTAGTATCAAATCAACAATGCGTCGAGGGGACAATGGGGGGAGTACTTACAACATTTGCCTGGGCAGGACGAGAGAAGCTCGGGTTGTAATTCTTCCCCTTGTAGTTGGGGTTGAAGTTCTTTCCCTTGTAGTTGGAGCTCCGCTGGTTGTTCTCGTTGCCGAACCCGTCGCGAGAGGTGTCTCGCTGGTTGTTGTAATCGTGGGTGCCATTGGGATTGCCATTGCGAGGGTTGCCATTGCGAGAGCTCCATTGGTTGTTGGCGTTGCCGTTGTAATTGTTATTGCCTCGGTTGTTCCAAGAACCTCCGTTGTTCTGGTAAGCTCGTGGCCCATTGGGCACAGGAGATGGGCCATTGCCATTGGCATTGGCATTGCGAGGGCTCCATTGGTTGTTGGAGTTGGCATTGCCATTGTGGTTGTAGTTGCCTCGGTTGTTCCGAGCACCTCCATTGTTCTGGTAAGATCGTGGCCCGTTGGGCACGGAAGATGGTTGGAAGTGCATCTTCGTGGGGTTCCGTATACCAAAGTTATTTTTGTTTGGACTACCGCAGCCTGGTCCCCCGGACGAGTTTCGTGCAAGCGAGGTCATTCGATTGAACTTCCAAAAGCCGGATTTAAACTTGTAAGATGCCCGCGAACCTCTGTTTTTGGCTTGTTTCTTTCCCTTAGCGTAGGCTTGTTTCTTCTCGACCCAGTGTGGATTTGTATAGTGGATTTGTTTGGGGAGGAATTGGTTTTGGTTTTTGGTTTTGCCTTGGCTGGGATACTTCACCTCAAGAGGCCGGTGACTATCTCCAAGTCCGACAGTTAAAGACAACTCCCTGACCTTGGCAACTTGCGACGAAGGCTGGGCGATTTGATGGAGTGGAATATAGATCTTCTTCTTTGAACGTGGGAGGGCCGAGCCGTGTGGCTGGTTGGAGGATGTGGTTTTCGGTGGCCTGCCAGCGGCCAAGTGAGGTTTATATGCCGGATGAAAGAATGTATACCCAAAGTGGAAGGGTATAGGCCCCAAGGAGGGGATGAGGAGCACTTGCGAGGCAAATGCTAGATGTTGTGAGATGATTTTTGATTATTGGAGTATGCTGATGACCCCAGTGAGAGGTGAAGAAGGAAAGAAACGAGACGAGTCGGGGGGTGGGCAGAGGGGCTTTTATAACACTCAAGCTAGATGTGCTACTAAGCCAATCTAGGAACGGAGCTTGCTTCCACGGTGATAATATACTCAATCCCTTGGATTCGTAGAAGGTAAAAAAGGCCTAGATAAGGCGAGTTGATATGAGTACCATGATATATAGGAGGCAGGCCGGTATATCTTGGGCCTAGAGCAGAGCCGAACTGAGTTAAAACCGAACAATGGGCCATTGTTAACTATAAAGGCAGACGGACAAAGAACCTTCAGGTCTTCAACTTCGGCTCGACCATTTCGACAGAGGTCTTTGGGACATCTCATCAGAGCTCCGAAGCCTAGGATGGAATCGGCCTGTAGTTGTAGAGGGCACATAGACATAGAAACACACATGTTTGAGTTTCAGTATCCTGCCTTGTCTTGGAACCCAGACAGAGCAAAAGCTTTGAAGTGTCTTGTGATTACTGCTGAACTCAAGTCGTTCTGCTGCCGGAGAATAGCGGAGGAATGATCGTGTCGGAGCACTTAATCGAGGTGCGGACAACATTCTGTCGGCGTATCACGGGTCAAAGAGAAGCCAAAGAGAAGTCAAAGAGATCGCGTCGGAACAATAAACTCAAATGCTTTCATTCTTTGGGTATTTCGGATAATGGCTTTCTTCCGAGTACAAGGCCTTTGATATGTAATGGATGCCCAGTGCGCATATGTCATCGTGACTGTACATCTGGGCAACTCGAGGATATAAGAAAATCTATGAAAGAAGGAAAAATGTAAAACGATCAAGAGGGAGAACTCATCAAGCCAATTACCATATAATTCCTTGGAACTATGAACTTGACCTCGGACTATAACTCACTTGGACCTTTCAAACGAATAGACAGATTAGGATCTCAATATTTCTGATGGGATTCACGTTCGAACACAGTTCTCAAAGCTCGACTTCCGTTTTCACTCGTGTTTTGTTCTTCTGGGCCAAGTTTAGGGAAGATGGAAGTATGATCAGGCCGATGAGAGACTAGAATCATATGCTAATGAGCTAGTTATATCCCATCCAGAATTGGACGTTGCGCATTGCAGAATGTTGGCAACTTCTTGATTGAAACATACGAGAGTAGTCGGCCGCTTATATGTCTTTTTGGTAGTGTTTTCTCCCCTTCTCGGTTTGAACAGGGATCAGTTAGAATTTCTAAGAATAGTTTCAGTCACACTCAATGAAGCATCATGGCCGCTTTCTCGAACCTTTAGAATCCGCCAATAGACGAAGCACAAGCCCTAGAGAAGCAAAAGGAAACCAGATAAAGATCAGCATCACTCATGGTCTCCCTCAAAGCATTCATTTTAAGGCGATTTGCGTCGTTTCTTTTTATCCGCGTCATCCACCAAATCACCATGTCTCTTGTGCCCATTCTCCAGCCTTAGCCGTTTCTTTTGAGGCTTGCATGCAATTTGTGATTCACCGTCATTCGACACGAGACTGTCGCGCTTGCGTTTATCCGCTTTGGGGTTTTCTTTCCTAAAACGTTGCTCCTCCTTGATTTTCAGCCGTCGCTGGACTTCTGCTGAGATATCCTCTGTTCCAAGCCACGTCGACGTGAACTCTCCTTCTTGCTCGGTTATTGGCTGAGAAGGAGATTCACGGTGTCTCTTGGGGGCTCGTTCTTCTTCTGTGGGGTCAGGACGGGCTGTGTCGTTGTCCCGAGAGATTCTGCGTCTTTTTTTGCGAATGTTCGCCTCTGTGTCAGTGGATTGTGTGGGGTTGGAGGAACTGGAGGAACTGGAGGCTGGGAGTGTAGCGTTTTCTAAGGCTGTCATGTCAATTTCTGTTTTTATTGCTTGGTAAAGGTGGTGTAGGTTGCTTTCTTGCGTCTGGGGTAGGAGTTTGATAGGACTTACTGCTCATCTAAAGAAGTGTCAGTCAGTTATGGGATCAAAGAAAGAAAATCGGGCACTACTCACAATATGTTTTCTAGCTATCTTCAGCTGGTTCATCGCCAGTACTGTTTTGTTCACCATTGACGAGACGGTCTGGAAACCATTGACCTCTGGAGCAATCTGGTCCTTCACCATGCTTAGCATATCAAGGTGAGAGCAGAGGAAGGCCTCATGACGGGAGAAGATCTGGTCGCAAAGAAAGAGCCGGTCAGTTACAGTGCGCCTGAGAATGTCCATATTTTCAGTTTGCGCCTTGCGCAACAAAAGCGTACCTCTGACCAAGGGACTGGCGGGTCATTTGCATTGGACTTGATCTTTGAATTAGCCTTTGAATGGGCATGCGAATCACCGACGACTTCGTCCTCCGCTGTAGGATTCATGGTGGGCTTAAAGTTGGCAGTCATGGTGAAGTTGAAGATCGGCAGCTACTCCGCGCCAAGAGTTCGGCTTTGCAGATGACGCGCTTCCGGGCTTTAACTACACGACAGAGAGTAGGAAAGAGTAGAAGAGAGCTATTCAGTTGTATATCCTACCTAGGACTTGTTATTCAATCTGATTCTATTGTCTATATTGTTCGTTTGTGTATTGTCCCTATCCCACTCGGTCCTCTGATGCGTTTCTCTTAGGAAAGATGCAAAAAGAAGCGAACCACTTGAAGGTGACCACGGCTTCTTGTTATTATTTCAATCTCATTGTACATTAATCGCAAGCTCCGACGCCATTCATCCATGCTCAAGACCTAATCATATCACCATAAACCCAGCTATTCAAGAAAAATAAGTCATATAGCGGAGAACGCTCTCTCATTACCAAGCACCAGCGTCAAAGTCAAATCGGGACAGGTCTTTCTGTGAATCTTCGACATCCTTCTTTGCTTTCATGCGCATGTAGAAGATCGGACAGTCACGGGATGAGCAGATGACCTCACAGTGAAGACTACCTTGGCACCGCTGGCACTGAGTCCACAGACGTCCGAATCGGACCTCTAGATCAGAGACCTTGGTGAGGGTTTTTGTGTAAAGTTCACCGAGGCGGGGACGGCAGTTAGAGCAGACAGCACCGTCCATCTCTTCCTTGCTGACAAGAGGCTTCTTGCAGCCCATGCAGGTCTGGGTCTTCTTAGCGAACTTCATCAGTCCGCCCAGGTTTGACGCCGCTTTGGTGATAGACCGTGTGTGCTCGCCAGTGAGCAACTGGCCCGCCTTCTTGCCCAATATGGGTTCGAAGATACGGTTGAGTGGGTTTGTCAGCTGGTTGTCGAGGTAGTACTTAGTGTCAATGGGGATGTTGTTTTCCAGAACGTAGATGGGATCTTCTGCTCGTTCATAGCCCTTGGAATCACCCGCACCCTTGATCATGACGTAGGCCACACGGTCACCAAGTGTTGGCGCAGAACCTGCGTCACGCTTGTGCATGCGTTCAGCAAGTTCGACGTGTGCCTGCTTGCCTGCGTAGTCCTCCTTGCGTTTCGACAGCGCTTTTGTGATGACTAGTTTCGACATATCGATCTTGTTTTGGAGCAGATCTGAAATGGTGGATTTGACGTAGCTAGATATTATGTTAGTTTCTTGATAGCTTTATTTTGGGGATATATCAACTTACTCTTGCGCACCATCAACATCTCGGTCAATCAGAATTTTGTTCAGCACGGTTTCAATGACATTTTGAACCATCAGGCAGTTATCACGCCGGACGGTCTCAATACCCTTTGTGTCCATCTTGTCAGGTTTGTCGGGGTTTGTCCAGTATAATCCAGCGTATCGCTTCTTGTTGATCAAAAGATAAGGGAAGTATACTTTCTCGAATTCAAGCTTGATGGGCGCAACGAATTTGGAAGAAACAAATTCTGCTGCTTCTCGGCCAAGCTTCATTGCATCTGCTAGTTCAGTGACGCCAAATTTGACCATGACGGAGTCGGTGTCACCATAGATGACTTCAGCATCGTGAGAGTAACCGTTGGCGATGGTGTACCGTGATTCTACCTCTTGTTTTGTCTTCTCAATCATCTGACGGCCGTAACTCGTCGTACTACTGGCAATGGGAAGACAAGGCAGTTTACCCACCGTGGCACCTGTCAGACCGTAGACACTGTTTGCGCTGACCTTCAAAGCGAGTTGACGACCGTTCAGCACTGCCTTTTTGAAAGAATCGGTTTCGGTAGCCAACTCCTTCTTCGCACGCTTTCTTGCCGACAACAGCTCTTCGAGAATCTGGGACAAAAGTCCTTTGCGAACTTTGGTGGTGCAAAACATGTCTCCATTGGGAGTGACGATGTAATCGTCATCCTTCTTCATGTTCAACTTCTCAATACTACTCTTGTTGAGCAGGGTCGTGTAGCAAAGGTTGTGTGCTTGAATGATTGAGGGGTACAATGATGCGAAATCGAGGGTCGCGACGGGCACTGGATAGTACCCTCGCTTCGGCTCGATGACAGTGGCACCTTCGTAGTCCTGCTCATCCTGGGGCTTGGAATTGGGAATAACAAGTTGCTGCTCTCGAGCTTTCCGGAAAAGTTGACTGATGAACTT